GTACTTCAACTTCCAGTTGTCTGCTTTAATGAATCATTAACTAATGATTTGCAAATGTATCATTCTGTTATGACTTTACCTGTTACGGCACATGACCAATTGTTAAGTAATATGTCATTTATTTATTACGAGTTTTGACAGTTGCACATGCAATAAATGTAATGTCAGAGAATGTGTGTGAAGGATGAGTAAGTTGGGCTGCACACAAATATCAGCACACCAGAATCTGAACTACTGACCACTGTTATACCTTGTTTAAATTGGACGCGAGTATTATCATGTCATGCCACTATAACTATCTAAACTGGACATGACACACCATCGTAAGTCCATTTGTCCTTCATAACAGAAGTAGTGCAAGAGCTTGAAGTATGTCAGAAATAGAGCATGGCATCAGTTTACTGTTGGGGTTGTGTTGTGTAGAGTCGTGCCGCATCCAGCGAGCATCACTATCTAGTCTTGACACAATGTTATGAAATAGCAGAGGCTGGCCGCATCTTCTCAGTGTTCCCCCTTTGAATAGACCTCAAGCTTAACCTGAGTACATCCGCTCCGCCAAGAGACTTAATGCTTGCCAGGCCTGCTGGGCATTATTTTTTGGTCGTTTTGATTTTTCGATCTCTTTTAGGCCAGGTTCCAAGAACGATAAGCCCGATGCCCTCTCGCGGCTGTTCGACTCCACAGAGGCAGCTTCGACCAAGGAGGTTATTCTACCCCAGCACTGTGTGGTCGGAGCTGCTGTCTGGGGAGTTGAGCAGGCGGTGAGGAGGGCTCTCTCACGCACGGTCAGACCCCCTCGTGCTCCGTTAGGGACGTTATTTGTTCCCAAGACCATTCGTTCGTTCGTCCGTCCTCCAGTGGGGTCACGCCTCTAAGTTAGTCGCCCATCCTGGTGTTAAGGGTACGTTAGCCACCATTCGTCTGAGATTTTGGTGGCCCACTAGAGAACGTGACATACGTCGATTTGTAGCTTCTTGTCCTGTCTGTGCCCAAACTAAGTCAAGCAATACCCCGCCTTCGGGTCTCCTCAGACCACTTCCCATTCCGTCTCGCCCTTGGTCGCACAAAGGTTTGGATTTTGTTACCGGTCTTCCGTCATCGGCCGGTAACACTGTTATTCTTACTGTAGTCGACCGTTTTTCTAAGGCTGATTGTGGTAGATCACGTATTTAAGATTCATGGTCTTCCTTCGGACATTGTTTCTGACAGAGGGCCCCAATTCGCCTCTCATGGAGGGAGGGAGGGAGGGAGTTCTGCCGACTGATTGGGGCGTCAGGATTCTATTCCCAGACCAATGGACAAGCCGAACGGACCAATCAGATACTCGGACGTATGTTGCGCAGCTTAACTTCTCAGAGTCCAGCATCCTGGTGCGACCAGGATGCCTGGTCCGAATATGCCCATAACTCGCTTCCTTCATCCGCCACTGGGTTATCTCCGTTTGAGAGTTGTCTCGGTTACCAACCGCCACTTTTCGCTTCCCAAGAGGCTTCCGTGCCATCCGTTCAGGCTTTTATTCAGAGGTGCAAGCGTACTTGGAGGAGAGTGAGATCTGCGTTATGTCATTCTAGGGCGCGCACTCGTAGAGCTGCTAATCGTCGTCGGGTACCTGACAGGTACTGTTTGTAGATGGTTGGAAATTGAAATCCATGGCCATGTGAATGTCAAAAACTATAATGGCATATTACTTACCAATTAGTTATGTCATAACATAATGACACCTGCAAATCATTAGCTAATGATTAATTAAAGGAGACAATTCGAAGTTGAAATACATGGTTAATTGTGGTAATTAACATTAATTTACACTATTAGTTAATATAATATGTTAATAGGAATTAATACATTATGCCACATTTAATTAATAACAATTCATTACGTAATCTATTAATCATATAGAATCTTTATTAGTTGCTGATGCAGTAATAATTAATGAATGGTTTAGTTCTTCATGAGTCATACATTAACACATGATTAGTAGTTAAGCATGAATTAATTAATGCATATATTTGTGCACCCGTATTGTAAAGTGTTACCAAGCAAATGGATCGCTGCAATTCACAGAAACATCTAGTCTCCAGGCTGCGAAACGTGGATTTGCAGTTATCATTTTGTATCAATTTTGAATTAATATTTTGAATTTTGGTAATATGGTGAAATCCTATCCTATATATTATTATTACTATATATATATATATATATATGTGTATATTGTATTGACAACTCTTCAATTAAATATTTACCATCTCATATTCTGCATAATTGGATATTTTTAAATAAACACTGACCAAAATGCATCGAAAATCAGGGTCATATAAATGTCAGGAAACACGATTCCAGCTGAAATGGGGACAAAATGAGGTTCAGTCCTATATTCTTTCTCGTTTGAGAAGCCTCTCGACTCGGATAAGGCCTATAAGTCACAATAGGGAAGAAACAACAATCACACATGTTTCATGCATTTAAACCTGGATAGGATAATGTTAACATTCAAATATTTTAACATTCAAATATTGACACACATAAGGTTTAAAAAAACGTTGACGAGAAGGCCTGGCCATAAAGTTATTTTCGAGACTTGACGTTCAAAAGTTTTAAGGCGAGACACTACAGGTGAATAGGGTAATTTTTTTAACTAGCAGATATCAACATGAAACTTTCCCAGTTGATTACCTACTTTAAGATGAGAAAAAAATATATTACAAGTTTTGTGTAATCTAATGTTTAAATATGCAAATGAGGCATTATCTACTTAAATATGCATTAATTTGCATATATTTTAAAAAACGAAATCTGAGTGTTGGATATAGCCAGGTACAAAATTATTTTTTCATTGTGTTCACATATTAGATGAGCACAAAATACAGAGGGATTTATGGATATCTACTTTTGTTATCCTGTAAATCAGAATATACTGTCAGTAGCCTTAAAAAAATGATTTTCACCATGTTTTTTTTGGAATAAAATGTTATATAAATTAGGCTAGGAATAATATATTTACAGATCCCTCAGTAAATGTCTTCATAATATAACTAGGTACAAGACTGGAAGTTAGGTGTATATAGGTGCTGCTACTGAAGTGGAGATTTCGGACTTGAAGTATGAGAGAAAAGTCATTTTGAGAAAACTGGCCTTGAAGATTTAGCATCAGCCAATGAGATTGCGCATTTAGAGTTAAATCCCCCTTTTGCTTTCACGATTGGTTGCTGATAAAAAGGAAATGACCATATTTGGATCCGACAGCATTGTACAGGAGAAAGAGCGATTTCTAACTGTGTGTGTGATGACAGGGTGCAGATCGCGATCGCTGAGCAGCAGGATGATTTATAACGACAACTTTTGAAGAATCTACAGACGCACACAGACAAAATGTAGTAAAATAAAGACCTAAATGTGAATTTCGGACTTTTTTTCACCACAAGTCTGAAAGACGACATGTTATTAAAGACAAATATCCCAAAATATCAAAATTGACCAGTAAAAAAAAAACAATGTGTTTGCCTGCCGTGTCTCGCCTTAAGTAGTTTTACCGGACCAATTAAATTGGGATTACTCCATGAAATTCGCTGCAGTGGCTCAGAAGAGCAGTCTCGCAGTCTCGCTATCCCCTGCCCTTTTGATGAAGAGACCCTGAAGTCACTGTGTGGATTGGGCCAAATTACCATCACCCCGTTGACACTTCTATACTGGCAAGAATTCATCAGGTGTCTTAGCGTCCATACTCGATCCAGGACACAGCCAGACCCAGAGCCCGAACACCACCTTCTACTGAGGAAGATTTGTGTGAGCCCCCCCGCAGACGGAGAGCTACCGCCCGCTGCGACGCATCAGCCAGAGCCAAAGGAGAAGAGGACAATGCTGACCCTTGCCCCGGAAGTGGAGCTCCACAGGGAATGTGATCAGGGGTGTGAGCCCGCGACATCAGCAGATGAGGAAGTAAAAAATGACAGCAAAAAATGATAGACTGGCTGATAGACTTCAATCAGGATGAATTGACTCCCATCCTATCCCCCCTTCATCGCTTTTTCTGGACAGCACTAAGGACTGAATGAACTATGATCTCCTTATCCTTACCATGGTTCTGTCCCTGTGACGCCGAGCCGCAGGTTGTGCATCCCCCTGCATTGTGAGTGCGAAAGGATCCTTTGGCTCCGCCTCTGTCCTTAAACTCTTCGCTCCATCTCGGCCTTCACAGTGGCTCCTCCCACCTTCGGCTCCACCGGAGACCTTCGTCCTGCTGGCTCCCCCTTGGGCAGACGCCACTCTACTTCCACCACAGACTTACAGGCCCACCCCTGCGGCTAGCGGGTTCCTCCTTCCCCTCGGCAATCGCCTCTGTCCTCCGTCACACCGGCTCCACCTCAGCCCTCTTGTACTGTGGCTCCGCCTTCAAAGTTCGTCATCACCTTGGTCTCCAGTGCCAGATGGATCAGCATGAGAGGACGCATATATAAATGCACTGAGTCGACTCACATTCCTTGACAGTTTTTCAGCATCTCTCCACCACCCCGATACCTCACTCTCGGCTTGTTCCTTCCACAGCCAGGAATACGGGGGGAGTACTCTGGGTTCGGGCCAAATACCAAGCCCGGAGCCTTCTCCTCGGACAGCACGCCAAATATGCATACCAGCTATTCTATCTGACTTATTTGTAAGTGTGAACTCGTGAAGTTCTGTTCATTGTCCAGTATTATTGTAAACATGCTGTCTTGCATGTTGGCTTTTACTGAAATAAACCTTGTATTAAATTCTCATGTTCATCTTCTTTTGGATTGAGCGTTACAGTTGCCTCCAATAGATGTTTAAAGAGTTAGTTCACCCAAAAATGAAAATTCAGTCATTAATTACTCACCCTCATGTCGTTTCAAAGCCGTAAGACCTTCATTCATCTTTGGAACACAAATTAAGATATTTTTGATGAAATCCGATGGCTCAGGGGCACGCGTTAGCGAGAACACCAATATTTTCTCTCTTTTCCACTTTTTTCTTTTTTTCTCCAGCCTCATTTCCTGTGTTGGACAGGATGCCCCAGTCCTGTCACTCCTTTAGCTCAGATGACGGAGGTGAAGGAAGTGCTGCAGAGTCTCACGGGCTCTCGAGACGTCAGTGGATGGTCAGTGCTATTGTTTTTTTCCCCAGTTCTTAAAATAAGTGGGCAGCATCTGTAACATGCTGTTGATTACCACAGAATTGAACTTTAAACTAACATATTTAGCTACATTTTCCTTACAGTGATCTATTGTAAGTGGTCGTGGACTACATTATTGTAAAATTGTTACAGACTGAAGGACCTGAGTCTTCTTCTTTATCTCCTCCCACACAGGAGGAATTCTGTCATCCAGTCGACAGTCTGGCCTTAACAGTGGATGAGGTCATCAACGTGCGCCGGATACTTGTCAAGGCTGAGATGGAGAAATACATGCAGAACAAAGAGCTTTTTAATAATCTGAAGAAGGGCAAGGTGTGAATGTCTGTATGATTTATGGATAATTTGAGTAACACAAGTCCAACAGCCCAATGAAAACCAATGTGTCTTTGTTCTGTTCATCTGGTTTCTTAGATATGTTGCTGTTGTCGAGTAAAGTTTCCACTGTTTTCATGGCCGTCCAGGTGTCTCCTGTGTAAAAGGTCTCCGTTTAATTTTCATAAATTTTTCAATAGATATTATATATCATAGATAATAACTGGAACAAGCAATATTATCATGGTCTGATTCACTGTTTTGAACATTCACTTGTGATTCTTTCTCTTTTAGGTCTGTCTGCAACTGTTGTAGTGCAAAGGTACTAACTATTTATTTAATAAACCTCATTTAGCTCTATAGTAGCACATGTGTCAAACTCCGCTGCTGTAGGGCTGCTGTCCTGCAGACGGTAACTTCAGCCAGCTCCAAAACACCGGCCTGGACGTTTAATCTCAAAGACCTTGATTAGCTGGTTCACGTGTTTATGGGCTGGAGCTGAACTCTGCAGGACAGTAGGCGAATCCCAAACAGCATTTTTTCACCCTTCAAGGGCATTTCGGGAAGGGCCACCATATATAAGAGGGTTCTGAAAGAAAGTGAACAACCGAATCCCTTCATGAAGGGCCTTCCACAAGTCTGTTAGCGGAGGGAACATGAGATGGTCACTTCAAGGAAGTAATTTAATCGTTTATGGTCATGTGATCCAGGGTGACCTTGTGATTCATTTTAAATCTAGTTGGAGTTAACGTATAAACAGAATAATTCAATTATATGTGATAAATTACACACATTTTTGTCATGCATTTCATATTAAGTTAAAAAAAAGTTTCCTAGGTAAGAAATGTGTTTAATGCTTTATGTTTACTGCTTAACTTATAAGGAGCTAGGAGCAAATCAGGAACACACACATAAAAGCATAGTTTAAAAACTTCATTATAAATTTATATTTATCTGTATCATATTAACAGCAAAAATAAGACATTCCTGTTGTTGAACAACCTTGGCCATCCGCATATCATAAGTAGTTCTCGCCTAATGATCCTTGGTTCCCTTGGCCGATTTTGACCATGAACTACATAGGATCAATAGTATACTAAACTAATAGCATGACATTGCATTTTCCAGTGGACGACAGTGAGAAAACCCTGTGTTACTGGCCTACAAATTTCAGAAACAGTACAATCTTTACTGGCCTGAAATCATATTTTCATATTTATAGTATTTTTTAGTTATCTATATCTATTTATTTAACATTTTCTGTACCCAGTGAAGCTAGGTTATCAAACTCCATGAGTGATTTTGCTTTAATTTGTCCTTTTAACAGATGAAGATTCCCTACAAAAAGATGGCACACATTCCAGTGTACACTGTGGGATTTCACAGCAGTGCGAGGAGTCACAAGAGTGATGTTTATAAGTGAGTAAATATATACCATGTCTAAGTTAAAGGATTACAGCCACATTCCACTCTGGGAACAGTCTGTGCTCACGTCCTAAAAGAAATGTTAACTCTGCTTGTTTGTTATTCTCCCCACAGTTTAAAACACCAAAGAGGCCTATAGGCTACTTCCATATATTACTGTAGTCAGGACTTGTCCAGTAAGCAGTTGATGTGGGTTAAAATCAGTTTAACAATCAATACATATGCAAAATTTTGTCAATTTGACAATAGGCTAATAAGTAGGAGACTTTATGTCGATAGCATTCTGACTTAGGGGGCGGGGGTTACTGCTTTTTTTCTTTGCATGATTGTGTTTATGGGGTGCAATATAACATGTATTCGTGTTTTTTTTTTTTTAAAAGTCTTATTTTTCATAAACTTCACCTTTATTGTATGCCGCTTTCTCGTCTGTCCTCTGAACGACCGGTTGACTTCCTGAGTCTATGAAACCACTCCCTCAGAAACGATGGAGATTGGTTAGTTAGGCCCGGTGTGTGGTGATTGGCTAAACTGTCGCTCACGTTGTCCGGAAGGTTAACGCCCATTACCTTTACGGGCGAAACATGCCTGCGCTCCGGTCCAATAATGTAAATAATGGTGTCGATACTGTTTGAGGCAGAATCAGACCGAGAAAGCCGCGATGAAGAGAGTCAAGCAGAACCTCACCACACACGGCTCTTACTAAACGTTTCTGAATGATAATTTGCTACATTTTTTTTTTACTTTATACACGTTTGTTTAACACAATAGCATCTGACTGGCAACAATAGCAACTGACTGGCTACTAATGTTATACTCAAACAGAAGACCTGACAACTGGGTGAACACAACACACTCAACGAGCCGGCCATGCCCTTTTTTGCATTTTCCGTAGGGAGGGTTGATGTAAATGCATGGGTTAGTGATGTCTAAAACCCAGCTGTAGTCCCAATCGAAACGTTTTTGTAGGCATTAAACTTCCTGATTTTTAAAAGACGATATCTCTGCTTACACTGAACTTTCAGCGCTGCAACTTTGCAGATACTGTTCATGCACCAACAGCAACATTAGACACTATTTAAAATCAAAAAAGTGAAATTGCCATCAACCCCCCCAAAGACAAAGATTAATGTGGTTTCAGAAAATACATTTTCAGACTTTCTACTTCAAAGTTTCATGTTTAATTGAATGTGTTACTTGCAGTTTCTTTGTTATTGTTACGTTTCCTAGCAATTTATGAGTGAAAATAGTTTCTACACCATGTGTTTTTCAGTGTGGTGTTCAGCATGATTATTGCCTTTATTTAGGTTTTAAAAAAGCAATACAAACCCCAATATTGCACGAACCATAATTATTAAATAACTCCGGATTTGTTCTACCATGAATACAGTAATATGACAGAGATGTCAGATGTCAACTGTCAGAGATGTATAGTAATGAAGTAGAACTTAAGTACTGTACTTAAGTACTAAAATGCTGTATCTGTACTCTACTAGAGTATTGTTTTTTTCTCATACTTCTACTTTTACTTCAGTAGATATTTTAGAAGAATTTAATTCTTTTACTTCGATATTTTTTTTAATGTTCTGCTAATTACTCGTTACAATTATAAAAATTTTACGAATCATTCGTTGCAAGTTGGCTTTCATGCTGCCTAAATCACACGCCAGTTTTATAGGGTAATGGTATTGATTGACACACACATTGACAACTAATGCAGGGGTTGTCCTGCAATGACATTTTTTTGGCGGCCGCCAAAGCAAATTTGTATCCCGCCAAAGCGCCTTATTTGATTGATAGTTCAATCTTTTGACTGCTTTCTTTAATAATTGCATGCCACAATACTTGTATTTCTACTTTTAGTACTTAAGTAGTGAATTTTTGGTCCCACTTTATATTAAGTGGCTTTAAGTACTATGTACTATGTACTATGTAAGTCCATTTTATCAAATTATTAGTTTCAATGAAAGTACATAGTACTTAAAGCCACTTAATATAAAGTAGGACCGAATTTTTAAATGAACTACTTGCAATACTTAAGTACAAAAAATGTTGAATACTTTAGTACTTCTACTTAAGTGTGGTGCTTAAAAGAGCACTTCAACTTCTACTCAAGTCACTTTTTTGATAGAGCACTTGTACTTTTACTCAAGTCCGGGTTTCTAGTACTTTATACATCTCTGCAAATTGTACATCTAGTGTTGAGGACAGGACTGCTATTACTTCAAACTAAATCAGACTTACAGTTTATGGCAGTGGGTAATAAAAATCCCATAAATTGAAGGAGAGACCCAAGCTATATCTAGAGGTCAAGAGTGTTATCAGGTGTATTTAGATGTAAAGTGGGCAGCTAGTCAAGAAATGTGAAGAAATAAAATTAGCTAGACAAAAATATTTTTAAATGTTCAAAACACTTCTGTCACAACACGAGTCACCAACATGGGGTTTAACTTTTAAAAAGTGTTTTTTAAAACAAACTCACAACTGTGTATTAGTGTATGTGTATCAAGAGAAGGAGTGTATTTGAATATGTGCCGTTTGGAGCATTCCAGTGATATCACAAAATTACACGTATTCAAATACACTGTTGTGTACATTGATGCATTAAAAAAAGTGCAAACTGTCTGAATGTAAAGGCCAGTGTTTTGCAGCGGCCCTGACTGGTAAAGGATTATTTCAATATTTAAAGTCATTTACCATCACTTGTGACGTAATGATAAGTACTACAAAAATTGTATTTTGTCCTGTCCCTTTATTTCTTAAAAATAAATAAATAAATACAATATGTAGTGAGGCACTTAACTGTGTTAACATGATTTTATTCTGAAAAAAAGTGGCTTGCTAACCTTTTTTTTGTTAAGTTACATCAGATGTTATAACTTCATTGTAACATTGGATATAATTGGATATATTGTTGCAACTTTTGTCTAGTCAAGTCACCTTTATATCTATAGCACTTTATAAAATTGATTGTTTCAAAGCAGCTTTACAGTGATTAAAAGGAAAATGATGCATTTTGGCGGTTGTTCAGCTGAAGACAGTTCAGTGTCGATTCAGTTCGATTGTAAAGATCATCAATTATTAAATTAGTTTATTTAATCTATAAAGCAGCTCTGCACAAAATGATGTCATCCTCCAGATCAATTCTCATACAACAGCGTCAGTACAGTCAATAATATTGTTTAATATTAAAAGGGTGGTACAATTCGATTTTCACAAATAAATCTCTGATGACCCTAGAGTGTGTGTGTGAAGTTTTAGCACAAAATACCCCACAGATATTTTTATATAGCATGTTTAATTTGTCACTTTTTGAGGGTTTGCAAAAACGCACCGTTTTGTGCCTGGCCCTTTAAATGCAAATTAGCTGCTGCAGAGGGCGGGGTTTCAAGAGCTTGCGTGTGTTAGCAGGCAAGCGGCAACATTCTAATCTGCAGTGTTGGGAATTAGTTAACTACAAGTAGCGACGCTACTAACTTAACTACATTTTTCAGTAGCTTGGCAGTAGCTCAGTTGCTTTTTAAACACTGTAGGTTTTCCAGTAGCTAACTATTTTTTTGCAGCAAGTAGCGGTTTAGCGCGAGCAAATGCTACATTGCGTTGTCGAGCCTGCGCGAATCAGCACGATGCAAGGATATTCTTCTTCTTGTTAGATTACAAATTAATTTTTTGCCATTACCGCCACCTGTTGTTTAATCACGCATCTTGCGGCTAACGGTTCACTGACGTATAGAAGTGGGTTGACACACCCATATTATGATTAGACAAGATGTGACGGCAGATTTGGAGGATGGAGAAACAACTAACGCTAATTACCCATGGCCTTATTTGTCCAAGTTCAATCGGTATTTTTGAGAAAATGTTCTACATTCAATTTACATGGATTTATATTTTGTTCTTGCAATGTTGTAGGCTATTTGTTGCAATTTTGCACTTTTGATATTTGAGTGTTGTGTGTAATAAACAATACTCTTTGAAATCATAATTGTATTGCATTATTTTAAACACTAAATATTTTACTTAAAACATTCCTCAGACACTTATTCAGTTATTTATAATATACGTTGTTCAAAAAGCAAAAGTAGTTTCAATGTAGCTAGCTACTTTTTGATAGTAACTTGTAGTGTAGCTAACTACTTTTCTAAACAGGTAGCTTGACTGTAGTTGAACTACTTTAACTTACGAGTAGCTTGTGTCACATGTTGGTCCTGTCTTGTATTGCACATGGGTGTTGTTATGTTGTGCCGTGTGTTTCTGTGATTGTTTGATCCTTCCCACTCGTTACCTGATTAGTGTTTAGTTGTTCCACCTGTTCCCCTCTTGATTTGTTCCCTTTTTAAGTCTCCTCATGTTTGCAGTCTTGGTCGGTTCGTTGTCATTGTCAGATGTTTCTCTGTTCCTGGTTGGCGTTCCCTGTATTCTTGACCCAGTGTTTGTTTCATGTTCATTTATTCTGTTTTCCCCCCTCGTGGGTTTTTGTTTTTGTACCCATTTTTCATTGTAAATAAACCTTCTTTGTTTTGCACTTGAGTTCTCCTTTTCGTAAGCGCGAACGTGACAGAACGAACCGACCAAGACTGCAAACATGAGGAGACTTAAAAAGGGAACAAATCAAGAGGGGAACAGGTGGAACAACTAAACACTAATCAGGTAACGACTAACGAGTGGGAAGGATCAAACAATCACAGAAACACACGGCACAACATAACAACACCCATGTGCAATACAAGACAGGACCAACATGTGACAGCTTGTAGCTTGTCAAACTACAGTTTCAGAGTAGCTTACCCAACACTGCTAATCTGAAAGATGAAGCCTACCCGGAAGTGCGAAAAACTGCAATACATCTCAAATCCGCTAGAGGCCGGTCCCAACAGGGAGCAAATATCCATGGATGTCATGTTAAAATATCCGTTTTCACAGCATAAATTCATATGTTTACAGTTTGGTCCCATGGACTTTTATTGTAATCTTCAATATGTTCCGCGTGCCTGACAATTGTGAGGGGGGTGATTTTTTTTCTAACTCGTTAGTTTAGATCATATTTAGATATAAAATGTTTGACAAATAAGGGCGGTTAACTTTGATTGACAGCTGATAACGGGCGGGTGGGATTACGAGTGGGATTTGATGTCTCGTCAATTTTTCATTGATGTCTCTTTATACTTTCTGAAACTTTAGTATTTTGCATTTCCCAAGATTTCGCAGTATGGCGCCGCCCATACCCCCCCCATAACCAGCCTCAAACCCGTTCTTCAGAGAGTCTATGGGTGACGTCACAGACGCTTTGTCCATATTTTTTACAGTCTACGGTTAGCAGCTGCGATTCCCTCACTCAGACACACTAAAATGACAGAAACTGTTCTCCCTTTAATGTTACAACAGAGTCAGTCAAAGACGGAAAGACTCAAGAAGAAGTAGGGTTGGGTATCGTTTGAATTTGAACGATTCTGATTCCGATTCCTTGTTTCGATTCCGGTTCCTAACGATTCTCAATTCCGATTCTTTTAAGAGGCAGGGTCAAAAAAGTTTAGCTAACCTTGCTAACCAACGGTCTTGCTGAAGGAAATACTCCTTCTGTCACAAATACTCCTTTTGTCACAAATTTTGCATTTTGCCGAGATTTCGTTATTTTTAGAAAAGTGAAGCCACACTTTGGACTGCCGACGTAAGCTACTCATGTTCGACCAGCGCGGTTATGCCAACACTTCCGGTAGACGCTTCTTCGTTGGTGTTGTTCAGCGGTTTCTTCTTCCGCTCGGCGGACTGTGAATATCGAAACTAGGAATCGAAATTTTAACTTTTGAACGATTCCGGGAAAAACGATAAGTTAGTCCCGGTTCCAATCGATACTCGATTCTCGATACCCAACCCTAAGAAGAAGTGACAACATGTAGAATACTACAGAACGTCTCTGAATGGTTAGTTGATGAATTTATGTTGCTGATGTGGAGCAGAGACTATTTATATAGAGACTTGCCACTTCCTTGATCCTAAATACAACTATATAGGGAAAACCTGTAAAACCAAAGATGGCGGTTGTATGCACATGCCCTGCCCCTCCCACTGGAAAGCCAATCGTCTGCTTTTAACAGTCAAGCCGGGAAACATTTAAGCCTATCGTCTGGTTCCACCGACACATGCGCACAGTTGAGGTTTGCGACAGAGGAAAATATGTTACTGTTTTAAAATGTGGCAGATTTGATATGTGTTAGTTGTGTAAATATCAGACATCCCAAGTCTCCTGGAAGTTCCGGGAGTCTCCCGCAGATTGATAGCGGCTCCCTGATGACCGCAAATTAGTTCAAATCTCCCGGAATCTAGAGCGAGCGAGCAAGAGCGTGCGCAACAGAGAGCGAGAGAATCTCAAGGGGCGCATGCACAGTAAACGTATACCCTGTGGGGGAAACGGCATTTTAAACCTTATTTTGGGGCAAAGTCATCAAACTTTTTCAGCGATTTTTATCATATTTTATTACTGTTTCTATACAAGCAGTTTTTATGTCCCGGTGACCAGTGAAAGTGACTCTCTGCCCATTCATTTAGATAGGAGCCTGGTCTTGTTAGTCCGAAATAGCTGCCCGGAGGCGATGCCAAGATGGCGGCCGAGTGGCATGACTTGCCTAAAAGGACTTTGTGTGGAGTTAACTATCTTCAATTAGGATATTCTGTCATGTAATCTATAAATCGCTCATATAGGAACTGGTGTGAGACTTTGTAGTGCATGTGAAAAGATGGATGCTAAATTTTGAGCTGATTCACAAATGTACTCTTATACAACCATTCTTCCTCTTCTCAACATGGACTGCGTGTTCCCGGGGGCGGGGTTTATGGTGCGAATACTTTTTGTGCGAAAAAACAATAAAAAATAACGAGTTTATTCGACTATTTCTTTTCTTCCTTGTAGGCCAGAACGAGACTTCCTTATAGATTTCCACGACGCATGCGCGAGAATTGCGATCTGAAGTAGTGTAAGCTGGTGTAAGCAGATCGCAATTCTCGCGCATGCGTCGTGGAAATCTATAAGGAAGTCTCGTTCTGGCCTACAAGGAAGAAAAGAAATAGTCGAATAAACTCGTTATTTTTTATTGTTTTTTCGCACAAAAAGTATTCGCGTCGCTTGATAAACATATAGTTGAGCCACGGTAGTCACTTGGGATATTTAAACATTTTCTTCATTGACTTTCTGGGCCGTCAAGAGGCAGTCCCTCAGGAGCCAATGTGGTAGTTATACAGCTCTCAAATTTAATCAAAAATATCTTTATTTGTGTTCCGAAGACGAACGAAGGTCTTACGGGGTTGGTACAGCATGGGGGTGAGTAATTAATGACTTAATTTTCATTTTTGGGTGAACTAACCCTTTAATGTTGCCATGCTACGTGCTCAAGCTATGAAGTATCTAGTAACACTTTCATCTGTGAGCTATTACTTACTAATTCTTTAATAAGAGTTTCTTTTAGTTTAACAGTAGTTAGATTGTTAATAAACTTTTTCAGTATCTGGGAAGTATTAAAAAAATAGTATTGATTAGTTAACAGTGAACTACCACTTTCATCCGTGCGCTATTACTTACTAGTTCGTTAATCAGAGTTTCTTGTTAGTTAAGATAGTTACTAGATTGTTACTCATTGGTTCTTGTGTAGTTATTAATTAACGAAGGACCGTATTCTAAAGTGTTACCAAATAAAGTGTTACCATGGCCGACTTTTATTTTCTGTGATGCTGTTTTTAAACAATCTATTTTTATAAAGCACTGCAATGTGAATTGTGATTGAGCTTGACTTGTATTAAACAGAATCCATTGTCATATTTTTTTGCTATGTGACTGGAGATCTGTCATTATACAGAATATGTGTCATTATTTCATGTGTGTGTGTGTGTGTGTCCACAGGTCTCTGTGTTCTCTCTCCAGACACTCAGTCGAGGAGGAGTTTCCACACCTGTACGCTGCCGGCTGCAACCTGAGAGATGTGTGCTCAGACTGTACCAAGTTTGTGGCTGATGTCATTTCCTCCAGTCGCAGAAGCTTGGACTTCATCAACAACACACCAAAACGAAATAAACGGACAACCTCGACGTATACACAACCACATCACAGCCATGTGTGAGTGTATCAACAGATGTCTGAATCGAAGCCTCTTCACAGACTCCCTCAGAAATATTCTGCGTGTTAGACGATGTGAATCATTTCTGCCTGATCACCCCTCCTGCACTGTGTACATCTGCCCACAATACTGTCTGTGTAGATTGAGCGAGGCAATGCTTCACCCCATTTAGAAACAAATGGTGCAATTTCCTTTCACTGGGCTGGTACCCTTTATAATATATGTACACTTTTGGTACCTTTGAGGTACTAAGATGCACTCTTCAAGAACAACGGTGTACCTTTTGAAAGGGTAGCGCCCCAGTGACAGCTTTTGTACCTTTTTCTGAGAGTTTTATGGTAAAAAAGACAATCCCTTTGCTTGATTTTTAGCTTGAAAATGATTATAACTGATCCAGGACTGTCCATGCTTAGCAGACATCCTCATGCAGGACATCAGTAAATGCATATTTCTAATAGCAAATGTATTTTTATGCTATGGGACTGGATCTATTTAGCACCCGAGTGTTATGTAATTACCTTGGGACTGGTTTGTGAAAGTGAAGGTCCGAATGAGGCAGATAATAGTGTCTTATTCTCAGAGGAATAAAGTGGCCTTTCGATCCGCAGCTCGAGCTCATGTCTAACACACTCTTATTTTGTAAGGTCTGCAAGTCTGCAATAAAATCAATGCCACAAATCTGCTGCTCTCTCCAATGTGCTTTTTTCCGATTTCCGATTTATTGCATTTATTCAAGATTTATTAATTGGTGGCCTTCTTTGCACACAGTGATGAAAAGGATTTACCATTTATGTAAATAAATGAACAATCTGTACATGAAAGCTGAGCCGAGCCATTTAGAGTATGAATAACACTTTAAAGCAAATGAGAACAGTCAATATTATTTAGAGCTGACACGTATGTGTTATGTTGACCAGTAGATTTACCAAACATTTAACTTTAACACAACAATGCTTAGTTTCCTTCAGTCACAGATAAAAATAGATTTTATGAATGGGACCATGCTTGGCCAAACAAAATCTTACTTGAAAGCTCACAGCTTTAGAGTAAAATATGTTCTGGAAAATAAATATTTCATATGCAATGTGCAGTTTTCATCCCAATAAATGTACATTTAAAAAAAAAAAAAAAAAAACTTTTTTCAAGTTCACATTTCAAACCTTTTTTTCACTTCAGCAATAATCTGCCAAGTATCTTCTTTAAAAAGAGATCGAACTTAATAAACACCAAAGTATTCAAGATTTATGACAGTTTAAGTTTTCAAGTCCATGCTTAAAAAGTGAATAATGGATTATAACTACTGCATAAATATAATTTAGTACCATGAAGTCCCTTAAAATTACAAAATATTCAATAAAAATCATTATCGAACTAAAATATAGTACAATCATTTCATTGATATGCAAAAAAAAAAAAAAAAAAAAAAAATGAAAAAATGTACATCCAAAATATGTTATTTGTTTATACATTGGGTTCTGGCACCATTAAAGTCACTGTGATAGTCTATAGCTAATATAGTCATGGTTTTCTCCAGAGATAATTTAACTAAATTAATAACTTTTTACAACAAAAATGAACCATCACTGATCTTACTTAAACTGGACTATGATGCTATTTTTTGCAACAGAATTGGTTGCATTATTTTCCTGTTATCTCTGTAAAGCTGTTTTGAAAAATCTGTATTATAAAGAGTGCTATAAATAAAGGTGACCTGACTTGACTAGTCAGTCAGTATCAATCTACTCATGCCTAATAAATTATAATTTATATGTGTCTTGGCAACAGCAAAATATGTATTAGGCTAATGAATTTTATTGCTTGGCAGATTAAATTATTTATGTGGTGCATTATTAATATTAATGATTTATTTTTCATTAATTGAGCACTAGTCTATTTTACCTCATAACTATCGGTGGCGTTTTATCAAAAAAATATTAAATTTGAATAAATTAATTTTCAATGAGAGAGGCGGCGATTAAAAAAAAAGTTTTTTTTATCCATTACCAAAAGAAAAAGGCCAATAGTAAATAAAGCAATAAAGTCCATTAATACGGCCATTACAATATTTAACCAAAATCAATCTAGTGTTCTCCTTCCCCTGGTGAAGAATCTCTGCTTAGCACAAACTCCAGCGGATTGATGTCACTGGCATTAGTGGGGAAGGAGGACACATAGTTGCAATTCCCCGCCCCTCTCATGAATAATTAATTGGATCCAAATCTTATAGTTATCTCCGCCGTCCGATCTAAGGATGTTTATAATTTTATAATTTCATCGTGCAGTGATCACAAATTCAAAGCGCTGCAGAGATAAAGCGATGTTTTAACTTATTATCAGACATAAATCGGATCCTCTCGCTTCCTCTGGGGAAATGTGCGTGTGAGTGGGTGTGTCGATAGAGTTTAAACTTTATGATGAGTTAAAGTTTGATCATGGCCGTGTGGACCCGCGCGGAGAAAAAGGGTCAACTGGACCTGCTCCTGAGTGACCGCTGGGTCCGGGTCTCCGCGGAACTCACTCGGGACACTCTCACACTGACGGCGGAGGGCGAACCGGGCGGGCCCGCGGGATATTCGGAGCACAACTCGCATTTAAGAAACGGCGTTTCCAATGGCAACGAACAGAACCGAGATGTTTTTCAGAGCCGCGGGCAATACGACAGCCCGGGTCGGTTCAACGGGACCGGTTCAGACTCGGAGTCGAGCGGTTACTGTGACCCGGCGGGGCCGGAGGGGGTTCGGAGGGTTCGGATAGTCAAGCAGGAGTCCGGCGGACTGGGGATCAGTATTAAAGGGGGTCGGGAGAACCGCATGCCCATCCTCATATCCAAGATCTTCCCCGGTTTAGCGGCGGATCAGAGTCGAGCCCTGCGCGTCGGCGACGCGATCCTGTCCGTCAACGGCAGCGACCTCCGCGACGCCACGCACGACGCGGCGGTGCAGGCGTTGAAGAAGGCCGGGAAGGAGGTGACGCTGGAGGGTAAGACGATCACTCGAGCCGCGGGGCTTCAGCAGGCCCGCACGAAGCGTCTGATAATGACACAGTTAGTCATTAGTTTAGGCATTATTTTGAGTTCAAACGGTTTTCAACTAGCAAGCGGTAGTTATTTTGACTATATAATTGCTTTTGGCTTGCTTTGAGCTTGCTCAGTTGGGGTTATTTAGTGTTTAGCAATGTTGTTGATCTGTGTTGTGCTACTTTCATGTTATCAGTGTGAAGCTGCTTTGATACAATCTGTATTGTGAAAAGCGCTATATAAATAAATGTGACTTGACTTATTAAAAGAAAGATAATTTAGGTTGATACGAGGTCTGAGTTGTTACATTAACATTTGAAAATCACTCGCAGAAGTTATGAAACTTATATAAGTACATGATTATGTCTAAAATCTTGCTCCAATAGCAGATGATTATGACAGATTAATGTTATTATTTGCCCAAACATCCTGTGTGAATGTGTGGGAATGGGATAGAGAGAGGGATATTGACAGTAGTACTTTGTACTTGGCTATCAAGCTAACGTTTTTTGTGAAGACATTTCTGTTTAAACATTTTCATAATTTTTAATGTCTCCACAAAATCAAAATTTCATTTGTTTTTTTACAATTCATATTTTTCTGTGGAATGCTGCAGTTAGGCCTATTTATTCTAAATTATTTCTCCGTGCACACTTAATTTATTTTGTTTAAATGTGTCCTGGTTATCTTTAATAAAAAACAAACAAACATTAATTTAGTTTTAACTTAGTTTTAATTAACTTAGATTTAACACACCCATGTTCTACAATCCAATCGATTCTCAATGGACAAAATCAAGTTCAACCTACTTCATGCTTTTTATTGTTGTTGTTTTTTGATGGAAACATGGCTATTGACACCGATATAACAAATCGATTTGATTTCAAATCACAAGCTCTTGATTTCATTTTCATTTGTTTGGTTGTATATACAGTACGATACAGCACATATTAGTTTTTCATTAGTCTCTTAAAGAATTTTGTAAATATGCATATTCTTAACTCATTCCAAATCAAATAGACCACCACCAGTGCAACATTGAGATCTGGAGACTGACTGTGAAAAATGTGGGGCGCAGTGGATAAGACACATGCCTTTGGTGGGAGAGACTCGGGTTCAAATCCACTGTGAGACACCAATGTGTCCCTGAGCAAGACGTTGCTCCAGAGGCGTGCGACCTCTGACATATATAGCAATTGTAAGTCGCTTTGGATAAAAGCGTCAGCTAAAAATGAATAAATTTAAGTGTGGAACAGGTCCGCATGAGATGGGCTCTGCTCACAGTCACACATACATTATCCTCTGTGGCACTGGCCTAATTAAAATCAGAATTATATTTGATGGTCCTGGTGGATCTAATGAGATCTTAAAATGGCTTAGAAATGATGCAGTGATGCTGCTGTACCAGTACTGGAATATTCCACCGAAAAGCTGAAAAAGATGCATTTACAACATTGAGATGCTGTGTGACATTTAAAGGGTTAGTTCACCCAAAAATGAAAATCAATCATTAATTACTCACCCCCATGCTGTACCAACCCCGTAAGAGCTTTTTTCGTCTTCGGAACACAAATGAAGATATTTTTGATTAAATTTGAGAGCTGGATCACTGCTACATAGGCTGCCTAAGGGAATGAAACTTGACAGCCCAGAAAGTCAATGAAGAAAATGTTTAAATATTCCATGTGACTACAGTGGCTAAAGTATAAGTTTATCAAGCGACGAGAATACTTTTTGTGCAAAAAAACAAACAAGTCGGGGGTAAGTAATTAATTACTTAATTTTCATTTTTGGGTGAACTAACCCTTTAATATACTGAGGTGAATCAGCAATGATTGATTAATTCAGCTATGATTAGTGAGAAGGTGAGAGCTTGCAGAAGGAACAGGAGACTGGCACAGACAATAATTCTGAAATTAAGAGAAATATATCCAGCCATAATTAGCAGCTTTCAATAAAAACATAACCCAGTACCATGCTGCTTAGGTGAAATGTTGGTCGTTCAAGAATCAGTCTTCTAGTTTGAACCCGCAACCTTTGGGTTATTGATCCAATTGGTCGCAAAAATAGGTGTTGTTGCGGCTAGATTTTTTAAACATTTTTATTGGAGATGTTTTAATCCAACCAGACTGTTGATGTTTGAGAAAGCACAGCCACCCTTGTATTCTTGTTCTGCAAATACTTGCACACGTTCATCAATCCAAACTGAATTCCTCAAATGTCTTTGGCCCAGCCAAGTGTTTTTCTGCGCCAGCATCATTAAGAAACTATGTTTGTGTCGTGTGTGTGTGTGTGTGTGTGTGTGTCTGTGTTTTTTCTTCATACAGTCCTTTATGTTCCAACTTAGCTAAATGCTTCAGCTTTCCAAATATTTAGTTATAATGTAAGAATTCAAGTATTTTATGTCGGTCATTGATTTTAATGTGGCTTTTGGATTTTCCTAGTAAATGTTAAGCTTTCCAATGCATGTATGCAAACACACAAACACACAGTCGTACTACTGTACATTCCACAAAAAGAAGCTTTAGGAAGTAATGCAATAACACATTAAATTTAATAGTTACAGACCCCAACACTAGGGGTGTAACCGCACACAGAAGTCACGGTTCGGTACATACTTTGGAGTCACAGTTCAATATGAGTTTGGTACAACAGGGAAAAAGCAACAAATCCTCAATGCTCACTTATTTTGCACAGACAGTAGTGCACATTACAGCTTGTTCCACCTAGCGGCGTTTAGTCCTACCTGAGGTAGTGGTACGTTTGACTGTTTGCTTGTCTTTATATTTCTTATAGCTTCCTTTACTTTTATACTTCTACTTTTAGTAAGGGATAATGCACATCCAGCCAGATAGGGTGATGAGGACCCTGACGCCAAGCAGAGTTCAAGTTAAATCTAGACGGACATTTAAGTGATACAGTATACAGTCATAACACTTATTACACTGCATTTCACCACATAAATAAGTATGGAGATAAGAGATATTGATTCAGATTAAACCTGTTAAAATTGTACCTGTTTTTTATCCTACAATCTAACAGTGTACTAAACAATAGTCACATTGACCCCATTTACACCTGGTATTAAAATGCGATCTGTATCCAGATAAGTTATCCGGATAATAAGTACCGATTCCATTTACACCTGGCCACATAAATGTGTTTTTGCAAAACGGATATAAATCCGATCTTCAACTCCCGCGTTAAATGCAGATTTAATGGATTGCACGCCACCAAAAGCAACAGATATGAGCGGCATTTTATTGATCATCAGCTAATTTCCAAATCAAAGACATCAATAAGAGAGTGGCAACAGCGCCGGTAAGATAATTTTTTCGTTTCTTTACTTGAAGATGAAGCGTCTGTGACTTACTTTCACTTTTATTTGCGATGTTTGCACGTTGGCTTGATGAATAGACGCTCAGCTGCTCATCTGAGGTGATGCGTGGCACAGTAGCGCCGTCATATCTGACTATAACATGACATATAGCCTATATAACACGCTCTCACTCGTTTATTTTTTTGCATTTTTGGGAGGAGTAAAATATACATATGTGGTTTCAACAACCAGATTGCGTTTACACCTAACGTTAGTAAAGATCCGGACACAATGCGAGCCAGACCACCTCCAGATGTGGTCAGGCAGATCCGATCACGATCCGATCACAACGCATTTACACCTTGCATTAACATGCGTTTTTTATTATCCGGATAACTTATCTGGATACAGATCGCATTTTAATACCAGGTGTATATGGGGTCAAAATGGCACCAGCTGTGTATGTATGAAACGAGAAAGCAGGTCCATGATACTGGATGGCATAATTAAGTAACTGTACACAAAATATTGATTTGACTGAGTTTTAAAGGGGGGTTGACTGCTTTTTTTTCTTTGCATAATTGTGTTTATGGGGTGCAATGTAACATGTATTCGTGGTTTTTCGTTTTTAAAAAAGTCTTGTTTTTTCATAAACCTCACTTTTATTGTCAGCCGCGCTCTCCTCTGTCCTCGAACGAGCGGTTCACTTCCTGATTCTATGAAATCCCTCAGAAACACGCCATGGGCTCAGATTGGTTAGCTTGGCCCGGTGTGTTGTGATTGGCTAAACTGTCGCTCACATTATCCGGAAAGTTAACGCCCATTACCTTTACGGGCTAAACGTGCACGTCATGAGCTCCGGTCCAGATGTAAATATGCGGTTTGAGGCAGAATCAGACCGAGAAATCCGCGATGAAGAGAGTCAAACAGAAACTCACCACACACGGCTCTTAATAAACGTTTCTGAATGATAATTTGCTAAATTTTTTTAACTTTATACACGTTTGTTTAACACAATAGCATCTGACTGGCAACAATAGCAACTGACTGGCTACTAATGTTATACTGTTATAGCGTTGGAATTAGTTTACGTTCTTGATCAAATCGAAAATAACATCATAAAACATATATACATGAAAAATACATTCACAACATTAGTACTTATACAAAATTCATCTTTGTACGCGTTTGTCGTAGACACAAAATAGCATAACTAATAGCCTAGTGGCAATAAAGCCAGTGCTGGCATTTGAAAAAATAAAACGCAAGGCTACGTCTGGAATTATACATGCAAATACATTTAAAATGATTAAGTCTTAGCCTACTTACAGGTTGTGGCCCAACAACTGCTGCCTCTGGTTTTAAAGTCGGAACTGCTTCATGTTTTAGTAACAGTTTCTTGTTGAATCCGGTGTTGAAGATTCTGGAAGCTGTTTTCCGTAAAATGCGCAGCACAGAGAGCTAGATTACGATCGTCGTTTTCAGGAACATAGTCAAACATAAATTGTATCCATTGTTAACGAAGTACAGCGTCCGTAGGAAGCTCGAAGACATAAGACCTGACAGCTGGGTGAACAACACACTCGACGAGCTAGAGCTGCTGAAATATGCGCATGTCCTTTTCTGCATATTTTGAGGAAGGGGTTGATGCAAATGTGTAGGTTAGTGACGTACCATAATAACCCAGCTGTAGTCCCAATCGAGTCGTTTTTGTAGGCAATATACTTCCTGATTTTTAAAAGGTGATATCTCTGCTTGCACTGAACTTTCAGCGCTTCAACTTTGCAGAGACTGTTCATGCACCAACAGCAACATTACACACTATTTAAAATGAAAAAAGTGAAATCGCAGTTAACCCCCCCTTTAATATTTTATTAGCTCACCAAATGCAAAACTTCCACGAAGAAAAAGCGTCATTAGCTAGCGTGTATCACTGCTGACTTCAGTGACCTCAGTGTTCGTCATCTGAATGTATACACCGAATACATGTAGCCCCTTACACCCCTACTCAACACTGAATATATATTTATTCCTAATATTAATCCGTATATTATCTTAATTTCCGTTAATGTCTTTTTTTATGTTTAAAATAAAAAAATGCATGAAATACACAGATGTTTATCAAACATCCTCAATATAAATATCCACATCCTTCTGAAACATTTTTTGTAATTTTCAGGAACATGCTTGACAAAAACTAGATATGAAGTTTAACAATATGATTTGACATTGTTCCACCAAACTGCTCTAAGTTGATTTAGAGGATTTTCTTCTCCAAACATCCCTCTATCATTTTATTTCTTAGCTTATTGGTTTTATTAGTGTTGTTTTTCCTTATTCATGCATGTGTCCTTAGCAATCTAATAAAGCGTCAATAGACTTTAAGCAGTAGCTACAATATGTTTATATAATGCAGTATGTATGAAATGGATTAGTGTACGTGTGTTATTAGCCCAGGGCTGTACAGTGCAACCTATAAAGTATGTGACGAAATGAATGCAGTGTTTTTCTTTTGGATGTTCCTGATGTTGAGTTGTCAGTTAAGGCTGTATGTTTTGTGTGCAGTGAAGTACATCAGGGAGGTGTCTCCGCTCTTTAAGAAGTCCTCTATGAATGCAGATCTGCCTTGGGATGGACATCTTCAGTCTCCAAACCTCAGCGGCAGCGACGAGTCGCCCAAGAGCAGTGTAACTCGTGACAGAAAGGTCATCCCGCTTAAAATGAGCTTCATCAGTCGAAACCTCACCATGCCTGACCTGGAAAACAGGTGTGTTTGTGTGTGTGTGTGTGTCTGTGTGTAAGATTACAAAAGTAACCAAAAGCAGCATTTTGTTCCTGGGGTTGACTGTCATTCTACCGTAGCAGCTACATTTTAAATTGAATCTCATAAAAACATATCCAGGTTATGTTTCACACCGAAAAAACTCTAGCTTGCTGTGAATTATTAGTTCAACTAAATATTCATGATATTACAAACCCAATTCCATAAAAGTTGGGACACTGTACAAATTGTGAATAAAAACAGAATGCAATGATGTGGAAGTTTCAAATTTCAATATTATATTTAGAATACAACATAGATGACATATCAAATGTTGAAAGTGAGACATTTTGAATTGCCATGCCAAATATTGTCTCCTTTTGGATTTCATGAGAGCTACAAATTCCAAAAAAGTTGGGACAGGTAGCAATAAGAGGCCAGAAAAGTTAAATGTACATATAAGGAACAACTGGAGGAACAATTTGCAACTCATTAGGTCAATTGGCAACATGATTGGGTATAAAAAGAGCCTCTCAGATGGGCAGTGTCTCTCAGAAGTCAAGATGGGCAGAGGATCACCAATTCCCCCAATGCTGAGGTAAAAAATAGTGGAGCAATATCAGAAAGGTGTTTCTCAGAGAAAAATTGCCAAGAGTTTGAAGTTATCATCATCTACAGTGCATAATATCATCCAAAGATTCAGAGAATCTGGAACAATCTCTGTGCGTAAGGGTCAAGGCCGGAAAACCTTACTGAATGCCCGTGATCTTCGGGCCCTTAGACGGCACTGCATCACACACAGGAATGCTACTGTAATGGAAATCGCAACATGGGCTCAAGAATACTTCCAGAAAACATTGTCAGTGAACACAATCCACCGTGCCATTCACCGTTGCCGGCTAAAACTCTATATAGGTCAAAAAAGAAGCCATATCTAAACGGGAACCAGAAGCGCAGGCGTTTTCTCTGGGCCAAGGCTCATTTAAAGTGGACTCTAGCAAAGTGGAAAACTGTTCTGTGGTCAGACGAATCAAAATTTGAAGTTCTTTTTGGAAAACTGGGACGCCATGTCATCCGGACTAAAGAGGACAAGGACAACCCAAGTTGTTATCAGCGCTCAGTTCAGAAGCCGCATCTCTGATGGTATGGGGTTGCATGAGTGTGTGTGGCATGGGCAGCTTACACATCTGGAAAGGCACCATCAATGCTGAAAGGTATATCCAAGTTCTAGAACAACATATGCTCCCATCCAGACATCATCTCTTTCAGGGAAGACCTTGTATTTTCCAACAAGACAATGCCAAACCATATACTGCATCAATTAAAACATCATGGCTGCGTAGAAGAAGGATCCGGGTACTGAAATGGCCAGCCTGCAGTCCAGATCTTTCACCCATAGAAAACATTTGGCGCATAGAAGCCTTTATTAGACAAGAATGGGACAACATTCCTATTCCTAAACTTGAGCAACTTGTCTCCTCAGTCCCCAGACGTTTGCAGACTGTTATTAAAAGAAGAGGGGATGCCACACAGTGGTAAAAATGGCCTTGTCCCAACTTTTTTGAGATGTGTTGATGCCATGAAAAAATTTAAAATCAACTTATGTTTCCCTTAAAATTATGCATTTTCTCAGTTTAAACATTTGATATGTCATCTATGTTGTATTCTAAATATAATATTGAAATTTGAAACTTCCACATCATTGCATTCTGTTTTTATTCACAATTTGTACAGTGTCCCAACTTTTATGGAATTCGGTTTGTACAATGATGACAGTATTTGCTTAATACAAAGAAAAATGGTGAAATAAATACATAGAAGCTCAGGTATTATTTTTTACATTCAAAAACATGATACTTAACTAATTAAACCAATCACATGTCATGATGGTTGCTTCAATGGGGTGTGGTCCTGGTCAAGACTGAATGTCATAATGGGAAAGAAAGGGGATTTAAGAAATTGAACGTGGCATGGTTGTTGGTGCCAGACGGGCCGTTCTGAGTTTTTCACAATCTGCTCAGTTACTGGGATTTTCACACACAACCATTTCTAGGGTTTACAAAGAATGGTGTGAAAAGTGAAAAACATCCAGTATGCGGCAGTCCTGTGGGCGAAAATGCCTTGTTGATGCTAGAGGTCAGAGGAGAAAAGGCCGACTGATTCAAGCTGATAGAAGAGCAACTTTGACTGAAATAACCACTCGTTACAACCGAGGTATGCAGCAAAGCATTTGTGAAGCCACAACACGCACAACCTTGAGGCGGATGGGCTTCAACAGCAGAAGACCCCACCGGGTATCACTCATCTCCACTACAAATAGGGGTGGCATGGTACATGAAAAAACACCCGACCCGTTCGGTTCGCTTGTCTCGGTTTGGAGCGTGTGTGACATGTGTTTTCTTTTCGCGCGACATAAGCTTGTTCGACTTGAACCGGCGCTGCACAGAGCGGTGAATAACATCAAACTAGTGCGAGAGTGACAGCTCCGTATGCTTTTTAATCACTTTCGCGGTATTTGATGTCATTACCGATCGCTCTGTGCAGCGCCGGTTCAAGTTAGTAAACAAGCCAGTAAAAGTGGAGTATGGAGCGCTGCAGGTCACGGCACGCGGAGAAATGGCAAGTAGGACAGATGAGGGAGTTGGAGGATGCGCCAGCGTCGTATAAGTCTATGGTATAAGTCCAGTGTGTGGGAACATTTTGGATTTCATGTTATGATATTTTAATATATCGCTACAGTGGCACTTTATGTTTAGATAAGAGCTTCAGTCAAATGTTTCCAAATCCTGCACTTTAATTTCAAGTGAAAAAAACGTACCCTCACTCTCTGGGAATTGAAGCATTGTTGATACTGTCTTTTGTGTTGAGGTTGAACTTATGTTTAACTTTATGTTTATGGCCTTTGCTATTGCTATAGCTAATTATAGGCAATGAGGTTTCATGTATATTGACTTATTCATAAAAGACAGTGTTTTAAGAGTTCCTCTTTTTTTCTTTTAAAAGATAGAATTTTTGTAAGAGCCACAAAAGTTAGCAGTTGATACATGAAAGTTAATTTCTTTGTGTAAATAAGATTTGTGTGATAAAAATGCACAAGTTCTTGTAGAGATAGTGATACACATTCTCCTTTTTTTGCCAAATAAACGAAAAGCATGTCGATGTCTTCTCTCTTGCTGTGTCAAAATCTCACCTAGCTTTCCTCTGAGATAGTCCCAAAATGTGCTTAAAGTCAAAGAGTCAAATTCAGTTTGTGCATGATTGCATGAATATCATTTTTTTTATACTGTATCCTAAAGTGTGGATAATTAAGCTATATATCACATTCTGAAGTACATTTCTGGAGTGTTAAAGATTAAAAGAAAAAAATAACAAGAACTGTACAGAACCGAAAACCGTGACCCTAAAACCGTTTCGTGAACCTTCCCACCCCTAACTACAAATATGAAAACGAGGCTACAATTTGCAAGAGCTCATCAAAATTGGACAGTTGAACACTGTAAAAATGTTGCCAAGTCTCGATTTCTGTTGAGACATTCAGATGGTAGAGTCAGAATTTGGTGTAAACAGAGTGAGAACATGGATCCATCATGCCTTGTTACCACTGTGCAGGCTGGTGGTGGTGGTGTAATGGTGTGGGGGATGTTTTCTTGGCACACTTTAGGCCCCTTAGTGCCAATTGGGCATTGTTTAAATGCCACGGCCAACCTGAGCATTGTTTCTGACCATGTCCATCCCTTTATGGCCACCATGTCCCCATCCTCTGATGGCTACTTCCAGCAGGATAATGCACCATGTCACAAAGTTTGAGTCATTTCAAATTGGTTTCTTGAACATGACAATGAGTTGACTGTACTAAAATGGCCCCCACAGTCACCAGATCTCAACCCAATAGAGCATCTTTGGGATGTGGTGGAACGGGAGCTTCGTGTCCTGGATGTGCATCCCACAAATCTCCATCAACTGCAAGATGCTATCCTATCAATATGGCCCAACATTTCTAAAGAATGCTTTCAGCACCTTGTTGAATCAATGCCACGTAGAATTAAGGCAGTTCTGAAGGCGAAAGGGGGTCAAACACAGTATTAGTATGGTGTTCCTAATAATTCTTTAGCTGAGTGGAAATGATGCTGTGTTTCGTACAGGTTGTTGGAGCTTCACTCTCCAGACGGCCAGCACACTGTGGTGTTGCGATGTAAAGACGGCGCCACTGCTCACTCCTGGTTCACGGCCATCCACACAAACATTGCTGCCCTATTGCCACAGATGCTGGCCCACATCAACTCCTTCTTGAGCAACCCTAGTGCCAACACACACTGCACGGTCAAGCACATCGGCTGGCTGGCAGAGCAGGTATCTCAAACACACACATATACACTGAATGTCTCTGGTTGAGTAGATCGAACCCATCATCAAAAACTTGCTCCATTGTCCATCTCTTTGTGGGTTCGACATCTTCCTCGGTAGGGCTAGGTGCTATGATCACAATTTTGTTTCACGGTATTGTCATTTATATATGTAGTTATTCTGGAAAATCACCTTGTTTGATTTTTCTTTTACTTATTGATAACTATATTGATAAATATAGTAAACGAAAAACACTCAACTTTTAGATGAACTGCCCTCAACTGGTTGATATTAAATACAACTCGTAGGTGCATTCAACTTTAATTCAACTTTAAATAAAGTGTTGCTATATTTTTAAATCTCATGTTCTTGTTTTACTTCATCAATCAGTTTATAATATCTAAATATTTTATATTAAACTATTCTATTCTTAATAAATGACATATAGTTGCTTTTAGTTTTGTTGGATATTAGTAATTTTAGTTGTATTGTTTAAATCTGTTCCCTGGGTCAGTTCTTCTTGTACTGTTTTAAGGGGTTTGTTTTGCTCTTTTTTTTGTGATAACTGGCAACCTTTCACCAAGAGAGGGACGAGTTCAAAAGTGACTAGAAGGAGCTGTATGCAAACTGAACAGCAGCTTCGGTTAGTCTTGACTAAGTAGTTTAAATTATACACACCTTGTAACTGCGTCATTATTTTACTGTAACCCTGTGAAGACCGACACACCACCGCTCACACCTTTCATATTCGCCTCTCAGTGTGTGTGCACTTTAAATAATAAAGTGCTTCCATTTTAATGCGTTCTATTTTTAGGGCTTGCTTTTTATGGGCTGAAATTCAACATGGTTTAAGCTGTGAATATTCAAAACATTGCGCACACATTTTCACTATTAAAAATTCAATAAACCATACTCACCTTTCAGATTTCACTTCCAAAATATAAATTCTGTTTAGAAATAGAACCTATAATATTTGACAGGCAATTTTCGGTCAATTTTATTTCACTTTACTATTTAGCTTCTACAATTTCAGTGGTTTAAATTCAACAGAAAAAAATCAACATTTCACATCCGGGAACTGCAGGAAAAGCAGAGTTATTTATGTACTAGAGTTGTTTATTTGATCAAATATCATGAATCTTGAAGGTGTGCATCATGCCTGACACCTACATGAACACTTTACAGTTAGTTTTATGACTAAGTCATTCTTCTCAAATGCTATTGAGGTTAGAAACGTGTATGTCAATGTGGTATGTAACTTTAGAGACAGTCTCTAACGAATATATATCACTGGGAAACGCTAAGCATGAAACTTGAAACCGCGTTAAATTAATATTCTGAGTCCATCTGATCACGAGCTGAGCACGCATCGCATCAGATTATATGTTTATTGAATTAAATCACAGCCGTTTGCAATCTGACAACGGCACCTAGCCAAATCATGCTTTCATTTTAGGTTGTTTGACATGCTTTGCCAACGCAAAACACAACATTAGAGACCTTTTATGTTATTATGAGAAGTTTAAAAATACTTTTGAAACCACAGTCTATCTAAGGAATGGGAAACACTGGTATGTGCGTGCAGGTGAAGTACTTATATATCGACATTCTTTTTTATAAAGAGCTTTACATTTGCATATAGTTATGTTCCAAGCAAGACAGTTGCCTAGTTTACAGCATTAGTTGAGAGAGGTTTTTTCCTTTGCATTTGGAAACTGTATGGATTATGAATTCAGTGGCTGATTGTTGTGTTTGTGTTTAGCTTGAGCTGGATGGCAGACGGCATCAGCACAGACGTGTCATCATGGCGCTCACAGAGAAAGACATCTTGCTTTTCCAGTCAGTGCCGTGGACGTATGACAGCTGGACCTCTCCACTCTTAACACACCCACTACTCGCCACACGGTACAGCTCTAACTTTAGCATTCGTAATTTAGTATTTCCACCCTATCTGTGAGCCATCCATTAAAATAGACTGCTTAGCATCTTTTTTTTATTTTATTAAAATATAAATAAGTTTAGCCTCTGAATAAACTCACACTGTTCTGCCTTGGCTGTTTTGTATTTGGCTCTGTCCACAGGCTTGTTCACTCGGGCAGCGTTCGCAGTTCTCCGGCTCTGGGTGCAGATTTAGTGTTTGCTACACGTACAGGCACAGGTCGTGGGATCGAGTCTCATGTGTTTCGTGTGGAGACGCACTGGGATCTGTCCACGTGGACACGTGCACTGGTGCAGGGCGGACATTCGGCTGCTGAACTCATCAAAGAGGTTTCCATAGGTGTGTATTTTATTTAATATTCAAATATTAAATGCTGAAATGTATCCTATTATTAATATTTACCACATTACACATGCTTATGGATCGCCAATGGCACTATAGCATGTGGTTGTTGTTACACGTTTGGTCCTCTAGAGGGACATCTAATACACATTTTATTCATGCTGAATATGGTTGAAGTGCTTCCGATGGTTTTCGGCTGATACCTCTGCGAAAACACCACCAAAAATTCTGGAACTTAGGCCCCGTTTACTAGGGTTGGGAACCGAGAACCGGTTCTTTTCCAGAACCGGTTGTGTTTTTGAAAAAATACCGGAACCGTGCAAAATTCCTAAGTTTCGGTTCCGAAAACGGTTCTGATGCCGATGCGATATCATCATGTGGGCGAAGTGCTGGGAGTAGAAGACGCCGTCTTATTCCTAAATGACAAAAACTTCACCACTGAAGTTGCGATTTGCTCTCACACGCGCTGCATTTGTCACACACAGACACACGCACGCTGCGCGCGCCGACCGCCGAGTCACTCTCTAGCCTACATTCAAATCTGTTTGCGCTGAGAGAGAGAGAGAGAGCAGTTGTCGATATGAAACTGCTTTACAATCACACAGTCTCAATATTTATTTGTTTCACATAGGGCTGGGCGATATATCGAATATGTACGATGTATCGTTATATTTTTGGAAACGATATGGAATGAGGCAATACCGTTTATATCGATACAGTAGTTTGATATGAGCACATCTGAAAAATAGCGGAGGTTGCAGTGTGAGCTGCTGCAGTGAAAGTAGCTAGGCTACGTAGTACAATTTGTCCTAAACATGACACAAGCTTATATTAATTGCGTCAAAATCACTTTGATATAGTTAACAAGTTTAAGGCAGCTTGCCGCCCTGTCAAATGCTCTGACAGACACTGTTGCTGACTGACAGATATACTTGCGCTGTTTAATGCGTTTGAGATGTGGTGCTTTCCTCAGTGCTCAACTTACATTTCACATATTCTCCATCTGTAAATGTTAGAAAGTAAAGCAAATATGTCCATTTCACAACAAATATGTCCATGTCAGAAGAGGACGAGCTTCTGCAAGTGAATCTCCGCTAAAATTCATGCTTCCTTGAACGAGCGCCGGCGCGCGCATGCGCGTGAATAGTACTACGTAGTACGCAATAATTCTGACTAAAATAAACATATTGCTAAAATATTTGTTGTTGGAGAAAATAAATGTGCCATATGTGGAATTTTAAACCTACAAGTATATATTTTTAATGAAAGTGAAAGTGATTATAATGGGGTAATCAAATGCAGGCTAATATAATTAGTTTGTGCTTTTGTTTTTGTTTTTATTTTCATTTTTAGTTTAGCTTTTAGTCAATATAAAAAACAAAAGCTTTTTGCACATAATATATTGCATAGCCTATATTATATTTGTTTCCATATCCTTCAATATCAACATTGTTTGTAGGATATCATTGGGCCGAATGTGAATATACTGTATATATATATATATATATATATATATATATATATATATATTTTTTTAATATAAAGATTTTCTTTATCTAAATAGAAAACGTAGAAAGTACCGAGATATATATCGTATATCGCCATTTGACCAAAAAATATCGAGATATGATTTTTTGGCCATATCGCCCAGCCCTAGTTTCACATATTCAAATGATTTCCGTTACAGAATTAGTGAGATTATAGTTTGAGTAAACATTGACGGTAGTGGTCAAAACAGATGCAGTCCGTATATTTTTTGTGTTCAGAATGTACAAAATATATACAATGAGCGAGTGCATCATAATGTTTTTTTTTCAAACCGTGTTTTTGTCTTATCTTGAATCACTACGTAAAGCCTGTAATAAGCGTTAATACTCGGACTTCTTTAGACTGGCCGGCGGATCGCAGCTGCTGCGGAGTAGCCCAATGCCTGCGTGACTCGTCATGGACATAAACAGAGAGAAGTAGCTCCGGCAACAATGTTCTTCCGCAAGACGCATGCAGTTCTGTTTATTAACTGCTAGAGCGCCGATTTATCCAGTAATGAAATAAGTAAAGTCTTTATGAATCAATCATTCAAACCGTTTTAAAAAATAATCTGTTCTACACACATATGTGTGTTAAAGCATATACTATTTCTTCTGAGAGGGTATTCTTCACTGTTGGAGATACAATAAAGGAGAGGTCTAAATTATTATAGAGAATGCAGAATTTTTTAATTTCCTTTATATATAATTTTTTTTTTTTTGCAACGATTGCTTAATAATATTTTGAGTTTGTTTACATTACCAGTCTGTTAAACTAATTTGTCATGTACTATAAGAAATAAACACAAAAAGGATTTTTCTCTTACTAATATTTTTAATTGAATGGGAACCGGAACCGGAATCGTTTGGCGGAACCGGAATCGGAACCGGAACCGGAAAATTTCTCACGATTCCCAACCCTACCGTTTACACGAAGGGAAAACGCAGATATTGCCCTGCGGTTTGGCCTCTTATTTACACGAAAACCCCGTTTTTATATTTATAACGATTATTTCTAAAACCTCCAGCCAAGGTGGAGATTTCTGAAAATGCCGGTTGTGTTGTCGTATTAGTTAGCGTTTTAGGTTCTCTATTCGATACTGAGGATTCTGATTGGCTTGCATGGCTTTTTCTTTCTCCCTACACTGCTGCTCATAGGTTTGGCATAGATATGATGGCGCTCGACGGTGTATTTATGTGAAAAATAATAATAATATCGTGTGTGCACGATGTTATTTTTGAAAACGGAGAAGGGGAAAATATTTGTTTCTCTAAATGAACACGTTTTGTGTAAACGGCTTTGTGTAAACGTGGCCTTATATCGTTCATTTCAGTTCGACTAGACAGTTCCAACAAGCTCGATGCGCACCAAATCCGTTGAGATATTTGCGTTTTTCGCAGGCGCTTTGGGGGGTGCTTTTTACATCATTAAACATTTAGGCTACCATTTTTTACAGTTGTTATGATGATACACCGTGGGTAACGTGCACACTTGTGTAACTTTATTGTTCTTCAGACAAAACAAAGACATTTCATTTCCACATGCTTGTAAGCCAAGGTGGCGAAAAGGCAAGATTGCATATAAAAGAAAATTTAAAAAATATACATGAAAAAGCAATATTCAAACAGTAACTTCAGCATTCGACTAATATTCATTTTTTTTTAAATATTCGAATTTCGTAATTTGTTCCAACAGGCCTAGTGTGTGTGTGTGTGTGTGTGTGAATATACAAATAAGAAGGGAATCTACCCTACACTAAGACCCACCTTAAAAACTTTACAGACCAATCCTATCAATCCAATCCTAGCAAACATGGCCGTCCCTGTATTATTATTAGACACATTTGTATTGTTTTTGTCATTATGTAAGTCATTTCATCATTTTGGCATGAAATGAAAATTCACCTTATCAGTTTTCTAAATTCATGTTATAGATCTTATTGTGAATGGTTAATGTAAGTTTCCTTTTTTAGTTTGACCTCATAATAATGAAAAAACTCGATCTTCTAGTGAAATGACATAACAGACTTGTCTCTGGTGACATGAGCAGGACTTTTCCAATCATTTAGTCCGCCCCTGCAAGCTTGTGTTCATTTGGCTCAAGTTTTGAGTGCAACAACCACATCTTAACATCCAATCAACAACAGCCTCGTTTGAAATGTTAATAGGTTTATGTTTATTTATTTAGTTTTGTTTTTATTGTTTTTTTGTTTTTATTTATTTATTGTTGCTATGATGGTTAATAAATGTTTTCTGTACTCATACCAATTGCACTGAAATGATTAGGGCTGGGTATCGATTCACATTTCGATTCGATTTCGATTCACAAGCTCTCAGTTCGATTCGATATCGATTCTCGATTCAATTTTCGATTTCGATTCCTGATTTGATTCTCGATTCGACTATAATGAAGATGTAATACAAATCCTATATTTATAAAAAAGAACAGTGGACATAAGTTTACTAGTGGTTAATTAATACAAGGAAATTAAGAGCCATAAACCTGTATATAAAACTCTTTTTATTTTAGGTACACTAAATGCATACAAAGAATAAACAGGATTTTGATGCAATGTGCAAAAAAAGTCAGAACAGTCGCACAGCTTGATCAAACAGTATCATGTTATTTTATGTTTAAGATAGATATAGATAAATAAATGTATAAATATTTAGACTTTTTTTTTTTTTTTTTTACATTGATCTTACCTAAATGGTAATGTAATTTTTTGTTTATTTTTGTTTTAAGAGTTTATGTATGGAAGCTTGATTTCAATCTTTGAATTAAATTGAAAAAAATTAGCACAAATAAATACAATAGAATAAAGACACAAATTAAGAGACATTTTGGGGTAGTTTTTTGGGTATGTCAGAAATACTACAGAAACTGAATAAAGTAATCCAATGTAAAATAACACTGGATAGTCTTTTTAGTCCAGACTGAATTAAATACAAAGGCTATTAATTCTGATTGCTTACAATTAATACTATATTCTGTTGTTATGACAACAGAATTAATGACTGACACAAATGGCTGCGTTCACTTTAAGAACTAGTGCGCGAATCCATTACTGTTTAATTAACTTTCTGTCACACACGTTTAATGCTAATTTAAGACATTACCGAGGAGGTTACTCACCAAGACCAGAGTTTTGACATAATGTCGCGTGTTTTAACTGTTAAAGTGATATAATCCAGGGATAAAACTTTTGTTTCTGGCGAGCTGTTTGTGAGGCAGATTTAGGCTGTAACGTTACTGTGCACGCAGTGAAAGACATCTCTGAGAGTGCGCGAGCACGGGATGGTTTAACATTGCTTGTAAAACTCAAAAAGACGTGAAAATGATAAACGTTACGATCATAGGTTACGATGCAATGCTGGCCCGATTGTTAAGTGAATATTCCGTCATGTCCCGACTCCTAAACGTGTGTGTGTGTGTGTCGACAGCTGCAGCGCTTGGCGCTTGCCTAGTGCAGAGAGACGAGAAGATGCAGCACCGCGTCCGCGAGCCCTTTATATGGAAAAAATCGATTCCGGCTTTTGAGAATCGATTTTGAATCGAACACATTTTAAAAAACGATTAATCGAAAAATCTATTTTTTTGCCCAGCCCTAGAAATGATGCAGTTTTTAATCGCAAGACTTTCTGTAATTTAACAATTATTGAGTGACTGAATTAAAGGACAGATAAAATGCATGTAATTAATTAATTCATTAAATGTGCTATTAAAATGTAATCTTACAAGAACCAGAATAAAGTGTAAGATTAATATCCACTCAGTGAGTAGAAAATTTTATGTACATTTTATTGAGAATTCTCGTTTTCTTTGAAAAGTCCAAATTCATACGCATGGGATGTTCTTTAACACTTGTCTGAGTTACTATGGGGCTTATATTAGCACAGGGATAACTGCGTGGATTGAGACATCTTACTTTATTTTCCTGTGGTGTGGAACAATAGCTGGCTGGAGGAAATGTTGGAAATATTAAGCGTTTTCCTTCCTGAGTTCCAGCCAGGCAATAAAATATAAAGTCACATTAATTCACCCTCTCATGGTTCATATCTTTGTATGTTTGTCTGCACTCCTCAGGCTGTGTGTTGAACAGACAGAACGTTTGCCTGATCCTGCATTATGACAGAGGTTTCACCGTGACACGGGAATCTGGTCAATCTGTGGTTTTTCACTTCCCCTATGAGCGGCTCAAAATGTCAGCGGATGATGGAGTCAGGAATCTTTACCTGGACTTTGGTGCTCCAGAGGGCGAAATGGTATGGCATGAAATATCATATTTACCTGTGATGTGAGATGGACGTACAACTCTGAAGTCCCTCATGGCATTAAGAATGAAAGTCTTATGATCTACTCTGACTTCTGATCTATTGAGATATATAATTATATTTAGGGGGGTAACGGTACACAAACATGATGGTTCGGTACGTGTGGGCATTTTAACTGCGTGATAAATTATAAGCAGTACGGCACAACGGTTCATTGTCTCTAAATTATGACCAGAAATGGATAAATATTAAAGGAGAACTCCGGCGCAAAATGAACCTTTGGTCTAATAAAACATTGGTGCCTAGTCAATCTTTCTCTGAGATTTGTTTTCATGATAATTGAATGTAAAGAGTTTTATCTCTAAAAACGGTTTAGCTTATAATGCTAGTAATGGGGGCATTTACTAAGTAAAAAGAAATCGCTAGTTTATACCACTAACAAGGCTCAAAATAGCCCCACACTAACATAATGAGGGTCCATACATGCAAAACGAAGCATTGAGAACTTTGTAAGTGTACAGACCGTTTAATAAGAAGATATTTTATAAAGACAGTTCACTTCGTGTATACAGACAGGAGCCATCTTTGGAAAACAGACTCGATAAGTCGAACCACGAACGCCGTTCATACAGTTCAGAAGTTCGCTGAACTTCATACAGTTCAGTTCACTCAGGACGTTGTTCGTGGTTTGAATTGCCGAGACTGTTTTCCAAGATGGCTCCTGTCTGTATACACGAAGTGAACTGTCTTTATAAAGTATCTTCTTATTAAACGGTCTGTACACTTACAAAGTTCTCAATGCTTCAGTTTGCATGTATGGACCCTCATTATGTTACGGTAAGCAACTGAGCACTTTTCATATTCTTTATCCTGACTGCAGCACTTTAGTTTCAATGTATAAGAATAATATAATCAGCCTATGTTATAGTTTAAAGTTAAATGTATTAATATTAATAAGTTGAGTCTTATGTTTACTTGACAGTGATTTCACATTTCTTGTTTACGACTAAATACAAATATTAGATTAACATGCATTTATTTGTACCATTTTTATTTCTAAAATATTATATAGTTTTATAGGAGGAAGGTTTCAGAGACTTGGTAAATACATTTTTCAGAAGTTTGTAGGTGCAAACATTCGTTGTGAAAAACTTAGCAGTTTTTCTGAGGCTTTTATATTGTTCATATCGATATCGGAACTCTACCGTATCGACCGAAATTAAGAAATATATTGTGAAATGAATTTTGTCCTTATCGCTCAGCCCTACTCTAAATGCATCCTTAGTTTCCTGTGCAATGAAGGAAATTCATCGCGCATCAGTGACAACAGGATTATTTTTGAGAGAAATTGCATAATTACATGTTTAAACAATACAGTGTTTCAACTTATATATGCATCTTATCTAAATATCTAATGATGCAAATGTAAAAATAAAAGCATCCTTTAAATCAGTTCACATGTTGACATATCTTACTAAGATGCAATTATATATACTGTAGTAGATAATACTCTACTTGGTATAGAGAATGGGAGACTACGTCATGACGCAGTGCACTCTAGGTATCGGCGGCCATCTTTTAGGACACGGTTGTCGTAACTAAGGTAAACAAACACACATGGACCGTGTGAAGATCAAGCACAAGGTTATCTACTGAGATAAGCTGAACAAGGAAGCAAAGGAGCGCTACTTAGAGAAAATAAAGGCAATTAACGGGCTCGATCCGTACGAACACAAAGAGTGGTCGACTGATCTGAACAAGCTACCGCAAACAACATTTTCTGACGTGTTTTCTTACCTTGTTTGTGGTGTGAGCGCATACACATTTGAACCAGACACACCTCTCTGTCACCAACAACAACAACATGGCAAGTTAAACTCTGCGTCATATATATTTTCTTTTTTATTTAGGAAAAAATTTAGTTAAACGCTGTTGTTTTTGTTGTTTCTGCAATGTTCTAGATTAGTTTCTGTAATAAATCAGAATCCGGATTATTTCCAGGTTTTCACATACGGAGTTTACCTTGGCATATTGGTGCTTAACGTTCATGTTAAAGTTCATGTCTACAAAAAATATACTGCAGATTTGACTATGATTTGACATTTCTCACGCAACCTCCGTGTCCTAAAATCCAACAATGCCTTGCGTTACTGGGATTCGCTGACGTCACGATCCTATTCTCTATACCAGGGGTTTTCAAATTGGGTGAATGTGAGCCTCCCCTTAGAGTAGGTAAGGACAGCCGAGGTAACTTAACATTTTACTGTTTATGAAATGTTTTTGTTTTAGGCTTTCTTTATAGGCCTATGTGAAGTTAAATATCTAAGCCTTGTATATAAAGAAAATAAAAAAAAAGTTTGTGAATACAGTGCCCTCCACAATTATTGGCACCCCTGTTTAAGATGTGGTCGAGGACTTTTAAAAATTCTCCCTTTTTTTAAAAAAACATAGAATCCAAATGCAAAAAAAGAGAAAAATCCAACCTTTTATTTAAGTACATTACTTTGTTGGTAAAAAAAAAATTTAAAATTTAAAAAAATTAAAAACTTCAAATGATGTGTCCCACAATTATTGGCACCCCTGATGTTAATACTTTGTACAACCCCCTTTTGCCAACAAGACAGCACTTAATCTCCTCCTATAACATTTCACAAGATTGAAGAACACAGAGAGAGGGATCTTTGACCATTCTTCTTTGCAAAATCTTTCTAGATCATCCAGTATCCTGGGCCCTCTCTTGTGCACTCTCCTCTTTAGCTCACCCCACAGGTTTTTGATTGGATTGAGGTCTGGGGACTGAGATGGCCATGGGAGGACCTTGAGTTTGTGACTGAACCATTTTTGTGTAGATTTTGCCTCACGTTTTAGATCATTATCCTGCTGAAAGACCCAATGACGACCCATCTTCAGCTTTCTGGCAGAGGCCATCAGGTTTTTATTTAAAATGTCCTGGTAGTTCAAAGCGTTCATAATGCCATGCACCCTAACAAGGTTCCCAGGGCCTTTGGAAGAGAAACAGGCCCACAGCATCACAGATCCTCCACCATACTTCACGGTGGGCATGAGGTACTTTTCGGCATACACATCTTTTGTTTTACACCAGATCCACTTAGAGTGTTTGTTGCCAAAAAGCTCAATCTTAGTCTCATCCGACCAAAGCACACGATCCCAGATGAAGTCCCAGTGCCGCTTGGCAAACTCCAGACGTTTACGTTTGTCAGTGTTAGTGAGAAAAGGCTTTTTCCTAGCATGCCTCCCAAACATCTTGTTGGCATGTAGAGAGCGTCTGATGGTTGTTTTGGAGATTTTGTGACCCCAAGATGCCACTATTTCATGCAATTCTGTGACAGTGAGCTTAGGACTTTTTTTTTACTTTTCTTAGCATCCTCCTCACAGTGTGTTGTGGCAAGATAAACTTGGGACCTCTTTCAGCCTTGTTTGTCACTGTTCCTGTTGTTTTAAACTTCTTAATGATTCCTCTAACTTTAGATATGGGCAAGATAAGGTGAGTGGCTATTTTCTTGTAGCCATTGCCTGACTTATAAAGGTCATCACACATCTGCCTTACTTGAATGGTGTGTTCTCTTGTCTTTGCCATGTTGACAAATGGGTAAGAGAATTAGGCCTCTGTGTCATGTCATATTTATACCCCAGGGAAATAGGAAGTCATGAATTACTAATTAAAAGTTCCTAGATATCCTGACCAACATTAGCAACTACAGAAAATATATTTAAAAAAAAAAATCAATTACATTTTTCAGCGGAATTGTTAGGGGTGCCAATAATTGTGGGACACAGGATTTGAAGTTTTTATTTTTCTAAATTTTTACATTTTTTTTTACCACCAAAGTAATGTACTTAAATAAAAGGTTGGATTTTTCTATTTTTTTGCATTTGGGTTCTATGTTGTTTAAAAAAAAGGGAGAATTTTTAAAAGTCCTCAACCACATCTTAAACAGGGGTGCCAATAATTGTGGAGGGCACTGTAGCTATCGTTTCACCAGTCTAAAAACGAATAAAGAAAGCAAGTTTTTCGTTATTCAATTAGGAGGTAAAAAAGGGAAAAGAAATGGACGCAAAAGTACACCGTCAGACAGTGTCAATCAATGTATTGGACATTGAGAAAACGGCAACCGTCATGTAAAGAAAACAAAGTTGCTTGTCAGATTTTCCTTACAAACAACCTTTTTTTTAATAAGCGCCCAAAAACGCAACCCGTGCTGTTTTAACGCCACTTAAAAAAAAACAAAAACAAAAAAAAAAACAACGTTGCGTATTATAAACTGCTTCGCGCCTCCCCTGTCGCTCTTTGGCGCCCCCCAGGGGAGGCGCGCCTCACCTATTGGAAACCGCTGCTCTATACAGAGATGGACCATGGTGAACATATTTAGACAGTTTGTGAACCTCTGTTTTGTTTTCAGGGTTTAATAGAACTTTCTAAAAAGTCCAGTACAAACGTTACATTCACTCATCAAGGGCAGCTGTTGCTAGGCAACAAGAACAATCCTCCGTATGCCAGACCGTCACATTGAACAGCGCTTGTTCCGAGCTTCATGACCTTTGAAGTCTGCATCATTTAAGTAATGCAGCCTCTGAACTGGGACACAGCTATTGACCATTTTGCAAGATGGAAACAACACTGGTCCAGAAGCACTTCCTGTTTCAGTTTTTTAACACTACATATAATCTGGGATAAAATACAACCAACAGAACATATAAAACTGAATCAAAAAGTTAAACAAACATCTTTAAGATGTTTTCTTTACATGTGAAATAAAGAAAACAGTTAGAAACTGAAACAGGAAGTGTTTCTGGACCAGTGTTGTTTACATCTTGCAAAATGGTCTATAGTCTTGCATCCATTTTGACATGCTTTTCGTCAAATGAATGTGTGTAATTTGTTTTATCAAAAAGCTTTTGATCATATTTTTTTGCCAGCATGTTCTGAAGATGATCAGAGCCAATTTTACTGAAAAATTAATGGGAAACCGTGTTTTTGAGTGCAGTGAACCATTGTGCATAAACTCTTAATGTGAAATGTTTTGTAGAACGGAAACTAAAGTTAGGACTTTTTCTTTTTTTCTCTTCTGTAGGTGTTTGAGCTTCACTCGGGGCCGAAGCCTGTGGTTTTCGTGCTTCATTCCTTTCTCTCCGCCAAACTGGCTCGCTTGGGACTGCTCACATAAAATCTACAGAAGATGATCGAGGTTCATTTATTTCATTGGTTTATTGACCGCTACTATTTTACTCAAGCAGTGTTTTCATAATTCCACTTGTCCTCTAGCCGACACATGTGTTCAGTTGTTGTCGCGTGTATGCGTGTGTGTGTGTGTGGCTTTCTAAAGCAGAATACAATCTTATTTTCCTCTGATCAGGAACACCAATTGTGCCTTTTCATCTAGAGTCAACAAGCTTTTACAGATATTTTTCGAGGCTTAAGATCACGATAAAGCTTTGCAAAATAACCAAAATGAATATTCTTGTATTATCTATGTTGTTTTTTCATGTAACTCTCTTGTATTTATGTTTATATGTATTGCATGGCAAAGACTGTTACATCTATGTGTTATAATCTTAAGGAATGTAATTTGAAAATGGCAGTAACAGACTGCGGTTCATATATGGAGAAAATGAAGCTTTAAATACATTCTCTCATTACTGACCAAAAATAACCTCTCTAAGCAAAAATTCTCCTCTACAAGGTATTGAATAGGATTTATTGAGTTCAAAAAACATTTTGAAATCAATATAAAGTATAGGAATGTTTTATATCTGTTATATCTCAACTATTTGTTCTCATTAATGACCAAACCAGCTCTAGGCCTTGATTATTTTTGTCCTTTTCCACTGTACATTAATGTACTGCCACTCGATCCGCATTAGATAAGTGATTAGTCCTCATTACGGGATTCCCAACTCACTAGAAGTCAGCACGTATCAGCCGATTTTCTGATTTCCAATGTTTGGAAATGTGAAGAAAGTTAATGAACTTTATGGAGGAATAATTTCTAGAGTAATTCTTATTTTTCCAGATATAATTAGCTCTTAAACAACTTAGCCTTTTGTGAGTACAATCTTTATATAAACGACTTTCAATCGTCCGGTTTCCATGCAAAACTGAGAAGGTCGTGGGAATTCGTTGGTCAGAAAGTGTTATTAGCACTGATATGTGGTTTGTTTTGGCAAATTTGCTTCGTCTGATCAGTAATATCAATTATAGCATCATTATATATTCTTAATCAACATGTTAGCTTTTTATGTATTGCATGTAATGCAAACTGAGTTTGAGCTCATTTTCTCCTGTAGTAAGCCTTTAGATTTTGTAAAAGCAATCACAGACGCCATATTGGGGCAGTACTGAAAACATTCCTTCGAAACCTTCATTAGACAACATGCAGAATGGAGGCAGTGTGTTTTTTGTAAGAAGAGACTATGAACAATATGACAATGTATAGAGGTATTAATGTCTTTTAGGTGATTGTAAACCGCATTCCTTCACAACCATTGCACAAGGTTGACCGAAGCAATATTTTAGCACAAGAGTCACTCCACAAGCAAGATGGTTCGTTCATTTTTTTTCTTTTTTAAAGGACCACAGATACAACCTCTGTGATGTTTAAGTGCCATTCAACTTTTATAGTCTAATGTATGTACTAATACAATAAAGATTTGAAAATGAGAGGGAGTGAATTTGTGAAAATTCAAGTGAATTCTTGTTCACATGGAGACCTTCTTGGTTTCTTAAAGTGTCTATTAAAGTAAAAGGTGACACTTTTGCCTGTACTTACTGATTGTGTTGGTGATCCCTCATAGTTTAGGACATCTTATGTGCTGCCTCATTAATTTCATTAACGTGATGATGTAAGACCTCTTACTGAGACCCATTGCATTGTGCATTGTCTTAGCTATGAAACTGTGTTAAAAACACTTGGCCAGGTTAATACATTGCACTTGTGTAAGAGATATGTTTGGACCCGTCATCAGCCTAATATTTGACATGACAATGAATGTACTTTGTAGACCCATAGATACACGCCTCGTTGCATTATTTATGTAGGGTTTGAGTCAATAGATTGATTCTTCTTTATTTTGAGGAAATGTTTAAACCAAAGTTCACTTGTGGCAGCTTGCAGTACACAATCAAATACAAAAAAAGCAAATTTGTTTGTGTGTGTATGATAACTCAAAGCCTGTAACCAGAAGCTATGCATTATGTCTGTATGTAGATTTCATATATATAAATAAAACATCCTAATTAAATGAGTGATATATTCATTTCCATTACATGGTATTACTAATATAATGTTATGTTACATTACATTACATAATAAAGCTTTGGAACAAATGTGTTCAGCTTTTGCTTCCGGGGGACACTGCTATAGTGAACACTAGATGGTAACAACTTCCTTTTCTAGGCTTATACCACATAATGAACCTTCATTATAGTATTTTATACTATTTTACTGTTGTAGTTATTTAACGAGCAATTTAAATATATTATAAATAGTAATAATAGGACACCGCTCTTAAACCGCAGGCGCGTGAGATGAAATGACAACGTCAACACTACAGGTGAGTTTACATTAGCTTTAGCTTTAGCATATCATCATCATTATTTCATGATATTATTCACTGAACATTGGCTGAGCAAATAATCTGTTATCACTTGTCGTTCATAATTCACACAAATCAGGGGCTTTGAATAGATGTAAACATGATATCAGAAATCGGTGGAGATATTAAAGGAACATAACAAGCAACCATATAAACAAAACCGTTTCAGTTCATATTAATTTACACGATATTGAATTTAAGACTGAACTGCATTTCGCTGCACTATCAAGCGAAATATATTTGAAAATGTGCAATGCATTATTGATTTTATTTTCTGAGTGGCTGATGTAACGTTTATATTACCAGTAGGCCTTCTATCGGTCAATCTGTCGGTCTACAATTTAATGACAGCAAATCAAATGCACACAGTAAATGCAATTGCTGAAATTAAATAAGCATTTACACGTATTTTCAATTTTCTTTACACAGTATTTTCACTTGGAGAAAATAAGAATAGAGAGAAAATATGTAATACCATTCTACAAAGCTGTTGGGTTCTGACACTCTTGTTTATTTGGATAAGGGCCATGTATAAAGGAAATACAGTGCAAGTTAGATGTACACAGAATTTATGAAACTCAATATACACAGAAATCCTCCCAAAACATTTAGAATAAAGAAACTGAGGTATAGTTTTAGACCTAAAGAGTCTTTTTCTTATTTTTTAACTGACACTTTGATGTCCTTTCCTAACTCATTGATTTAAGACAACATTTGGACTAAGACAAAAAGTTGGGTGAGTATTGCTTCCAATGTATTAAAAAAACGTGAATATCCTTAATGTTTCTGGCTTAGAATAGATTTTTAAATGTCAAGTCAGGTCACCTTTATTTCTATAGCAGCTTCACAGTGATAAACTGAACTGTGATGAATTAAAGTCAAGTACAGTCAGATCAATAATATTGTTGAATATTAAGTGTCTATCAGGTGACAGAATGGAGAAAAAACCTTGGGAGAAACCAGGCTCAGAAACCAGTTCTCCTCTGGCCAACGAACGAACACGGTGTGATAAGTGAGAATACTTCTTTACAAATGGGTCTGTCAATAATGGCTCCAGGAATAAATGGTTTCATTTGACAATTTTTGTATCTGTAAGAGGAACGTCTGATAAACAAATGTTTAAACTAGGAGTTTGCCTAATTTCTCTCAATCAAAACAAATGGAGAATTATAAAATTGTTTATTCGACCCCAAAAAATTGACCCACAGAAGTTTTTTATTTTTATTTGAAAAAGTGTATTTTTGAGCTTAGAATTCAAGATTTTTAAATTATTGTTTATGTAAATAATTTCTTACATTACTAGTTTCAACAGAATTTGTTCTGTAAAGATAAGCAAGCCAGAGTGTTTTTTTTTTTTTTTTTTTTTTTTTAAAGAACTGTGCAAATACTATCTGGTCTTATGATATGGTCATAAGACCAGATAGTATTTGCCAATACAAATGGTTATATACAAATTTATATACAAATTTGTATATAACCAATACAAATGTGTAAAGTTTACCACCTTATACATTTAGCCTCACAAAGAGCCTAACATCTTTGGGATTTTACTATCTAGGCCTGGCCTTAAATATTAATATACTCATATGAAAGTTGTTTCTGGAGGTATAGGCACACAAGTTTTGCTTCAAATACCTTCAAGAAATAATACATTTCTCAGAAAATATTTGATATAATTTGTCTCTATTTGTGGAGGGGAAAAGAAAAGATTAAAAAAAAAAAAAAGTAATCCACAGACCTCTGGCTGAATTGGCCTGGAATGACCGTTTATAAATAATATTTTGGTCTGTCATTTCACTGAGCCGTCAGTAACTCTATTTTAATCATGAACTCTTTTCTTGTTCAGAAAGCGATTGAGCTGGTGACTAAAGCCACAGAGGAGGACAAGGCCAAGAACTATGAGGAGGCGCTGAGACTCTACCAACACGCCGTGGAGTACTTCCTACACGCCATCAAATGTGAGTCAAGCTTATTGCTGAACTACATCTGAGAGAATGCTATTCAAAATTAAATCAAAATCGACCCTCTCTAATACACATCCCCGATCTTATTTTGCACAGTTAAAGGTGCAGTAAGCAATTTCTGAAAAAAACACTGTTGATTTTTGAATATGCAAGCAAACACACACCCCTCACTTAGGGGTGGGTGATATGACCAAAATTGTGTTTCACGATATGACTAATTTTATTTCACGGTAACGATATATTTCACGATATAGTTATTTATATAGTTATCCTCAAAAAAAAAAAAAAGACATAAAGGGATTTGTATAATAAATAAACCCAAATATTTTAGAAATGAAAAGTATGTCACCTTCCTTGTTTTATTTTTATTTTATTTGGTAAACTATTTTTATATCAAAATATAGAAAACAAAAAACACTCAAACTTCCCACAACAGATTGATATTAAATACAACTCATAGGTGCATTTCAACTTTAAATAATTTTTCAATCTCATGCATTGCTTTACTTCATCAATCAGTTTATAATATAATTATAATATATATATAATATAATTATAATATTTTTTACCACATGTGCTTATTATACTGCGTTTTTAACGGAGAAGGGTATTCCTGCACAACCGGAGACTGCACTGTTGTTTTAACGGGCTTGTTTTGCTCTTTTTGTTATATCTGGCAACCCGTCAGTTCGGAAGTGACAAGAAGGAGAGCAGCAATATGAAAACCAAACCGCAGCTACTGTTAGTGTTGACTAAGTAGTTTAAATTATACACACCTTATAACAGTGCGTCGAACACCGCGCGCTCCCTCTCAGTGCATGTGCACGCGTGCGTCTTTTACATCAACAAAATGCGATCGATTTATTTGAGAGTGAAGTTGTAATCACGGATCGAATCAAAGGAAGATTTTATCAACTGGTTCAGTAGACAATTGTTTGGAGTTCAAAAATATATAACTCGTGCTGCATATTTAGTAATTTTGCCTCAGAAACAGGATTATTTTAAACAAGCAGGATGTTCATTCATGCTGAATGCGATTTTCATGTTTAAAACGTAACTATACATAAGAGAAGGAAAGATGCGGATAACTATACATTATTTAAGGTTATTTCTCGTAATGATATTGATATAGCCTATGAAATGTTGTTATCAAGTAACTTCATGCTTTCCCCGTTGCGAACGTGCACTCCTCTAAACTGTAGCCTGGGTGCTGCTGCTCTGCTCAAGTTGACGGCTGCCTTTCCCCCCCGAACATATCACGTTAACAACAATCCTTTAGAAAATGTAATTCCTTTGTGGATCCTCTTGATCTGCTTTCTCCATGTTTCTTTGACAAATCTCATCATCAGTCTCACGCGCGCTGCACGGGAGTTAACCACGCCCCCTTATTTGCATTTCGCGGTATACACGGAATAAAAAAATCTGTTACGACTGACGTTTTCTATCGCGGTAACGATATATATCGCCATATCGCCCAGCCCTACCCTCACTCCGTTTCTCCGCCCCCAAAATAACCAACATGCAATGCAGCAGTCTCCAGCAGCAGCTCCAGACAATCAATGACACTCAAAGCTGTGCTGTTACTATAGCTAACATTACAACTACCGCATATCTTGTTTCTGTAAAACATACTTGGCAAAATCAATTTTAATCATGTTTGAACCAGCGCTGGAAAGCTTTTCTTATATAAACACAGTTTATGTATAGTATGTTTGGTAGTAATATAAATAGTTTGTTTGATTTTGATTTAAGTTTTCAACAGCGTTTCACTTACTGCACCTTTAATCGGTGCACAATATTTAAAAAAAGACAAAAGTCTCCGCTTCTGACACACCTGGGCCTCGTGGGCTACTGTGATGTTAAATAGCAGATAATGAGAGACTTGAAAAATAAGTGGAAAGTAGATGCCGGTGTTGGAGACTCCTGCAAATCCACTGCAAACTCAAATCAAAAAGGCTTGTAAGGGGCATTTCATGTTTACTTAAGTCATAAACTATTTCCTTTCTGGCATTTTGGGGCTTTAAGTTTTTTGATGAACGTTAGATCAAATTGTAATTGCATTTTCTCAAGATCCTAAACGTGTAAATGTAGTATTTCTTATGACAGACTTTAAGAGATGAGGCACCTTTGATCATTTTGTGTCTCAGATGAAGCACACAGTGACAAGGCGAAGGAAAGCATACGTGGGAAGTGTATGCAGTATCTGGACAGAGCCGAGAAACTCAAGGACTACTTGAAGAACAAGGACAAACAGGGCAAGAAGCCAGTGAAGGAAACACAGAGCAATGACAAGTACGCTTTCATTTATTTATTGTTCTGCTGAATTGACTATAGTGCATCGATCACACTGATTGTGTGTGTGTGTGTGCAGAAGTGACAGTGACAGCGAGGGAGAAAATCCAGAGAAAAAGAAACTCCAGGAGCATCTGATGGGTGAGTCTGTAATATGACTTGTGTTTAATTATTGTTAATGCAAAACAATACCCTCTGCTGTTTTGTTAATGATCATAATGATGGAATGTCTTGATGTTTTTTCAGGTGCGATTGTGATGGAGAAGCCCAATGTGAGGTGGAACGACGTGGCCGGACTGGAGGGGGCAAAAGAAGCCCTGAAGGAAGCTGTCATTCTACCCATCAAATTTCCACACCTGTTCACAGGTCAGTCTGTGTCTTAGAAATCAAGAAAAATCGTAGCGTTATGTAGTATTTTTTTTATCAGGAAAGACTACACAGCTGTCTTTGTATTAGATTATTTTTCATTTTAAATCAGAGGTCTTGCCCCTGGGGACCCACTGTCCTGCAAAGTTTATTTCCTGCTTCAGCACACCCGTCTGGGGTTTTTCAATCCTGAAGAGTTTGATTGGCGAGTTCAGGTGTGTTTGAATAGGGTTGGAGAGGAACTGTGCTGGATGCTGGACAGTGGCATTGTGTCCGAATGTGCCGCCTTCCATATTGTATAGTAAAAGTGAAACTGGCATGTGAAGGCCAAGTATTGATATGCATACCCATACTCTGAATTTGAGTAGTGAACAGACACACAGCAAACTGTAGACACACACCCGGAGCAGTGGGGAGCCTTTTTTTGCTGTGGCACCCCGGGAGCGATTGTGGGTTTGGTGCCTCGGTCACTTCCTGCCGTTATTCAGAGTCGAACACGCAACCTTCCAGTTACCAGTCTGACTCTCTAACCATTAAGCCACCAACATGACATCATGACTTTTGCGTAAACATACACACCACTTTCAAGTCAAGTGGCGTGTTATCTATACGCATTTTGAGATATCCGCATGTATGCGTGTACAGTCATGGTCAAAATGAATGGCACCCCTGGTAAATATGATGAAAACTGGCTGTAAAAAATAATTCTGCATTGTTTATCCTTTTGATCTTCCATTCAAAAAATTGGCAAAATTCTAACCTTTCATTGAAGTAAAAGAATTGAAAGTGGGGGTAAATCACACTATGAAATAAATGTTTTTCTCCAAAACACTCTGGCCATAATTGTTGGCACCCCTAGAATTTTTTACGAGGAAAATATCTCTGTAGTACATTCCCATTAATATTTAATTTTTTAAGCACATCAGGGTGACTAGGAACATGAAATTGTCCAGCTATGACTTCTTGTTTCAAGGAGTTCAAATATGAGGAAGCACAAAGGTCAAATTCCCTGAATCATCCATCACAATGAATAAAACCAAAGAACATGGCTCTGATGTGCATCAAAAGATTGTTGAGCTTCACAAAATAGAAAGTGGATGTAAGAAAATAGCTAAAGAATTGAAAATTCCCATTTTGACCATCAGGGCAATAATTAAGAAGTTATAATCAACTAAAGATGTTATGATTCTGCCAGGAAGAGGACGTGTGTCTATTTTGCCTTAATGGACGGTGAGGATGAAAGTTTGAGTGTCCAAAGACTCTTCAAGGATCACAGATGGAGAATTGCAGAGATTACTGGAGAATTGCAGAGATTACTTGAGTCTTGGGGTCAGAAAATCTAAAAAAAAAAAAAAAAAATCAAACAACCCCTACAGCCCCACATGTTGTTTGAGAGGGTTTCAAGAAAAATGCTCCTCTCTCCTCCAAAAACAAACTCCAGCATATTCAGGTGTCAGACACGACTGGATCTTCAAAAGGGACCGGATTCTATGGTCAGATGAAACTAAAAAAGGGGCTTTTTGGCAGCAAACCCAGCAGATGTGTTTGGTGCAAACAGGGATGAAGAGTACCCCATGCCTACGGTTAAATATACTGCTGGATCTTGTATGTTGTGGGCCTATTTATTTGCTGGAGGTCCTGGACATCTTGTTCAGATACGTGGTATTTTGGATTCTAATAAATACAAAGAGATACAAAATAAAAACCTGACGCCTTCTGCTAGAAATCTTATAATGGGCCGTGGTTGGATCTTCCATCAGGACAACGATCCAAAACAAAAATCTAAATCAACACAAAAATTAGTTACGGAGCACAAAATGAAGCTTCTGCCATGACCGTCCCAGACCCTGACCTGATGAGTGGAGTGAACTGAAGAGATGAAGCACCAACATGGTTCTGGGAATCTGCAGGATCTGGAGAGAGTCTATATGGAGGAATGGTCTCTGATCTCTGGTCAGGTGTTCTCCAAAGTCATCAGGCATTATAGGAGAAGACTCAGATCTGTTATCTTGGCAAAAGGAGGTTGCAAAAAGTTTTTAGTAACAGGGTGCCAATAATTATGGCCAGAGTGTTTTGGAGTAAAACATTTATTTCATAGTGTGATTTATCCCGACTTTCAATTCTTTTACTTCAATGAAAGGTTAGAATTTTGCCAATTTTTTGAATGGAAGATCAAAAGAATAAACAATGCAGAATTATTTTTTACAGCCAGTTTTCATCATATTTACCAGCGGTGCCATTAATTTTGGCCATGACTGTATGTCTACGCCGTTAAATGTCCGAGTGATTCCTCATGTACAGTATTTACTTTGAACAATGTCAGGTGGAGAAAGGAATATTGTTCATCATAACATCGTAATACACGTCATACACCCGCTATATTACTGAATCTACCCGATTTTTCACATCAACCGAAAAATACACCGGGATAAACTGCTTCTCTCGAGACTCCACCGCTTCAGAGAATAGTAATGATATGCTAAAGCCTGCCAGCACATTGATCTGATTGGTTACAAGATAGTTTGTGATACTGACGTCAGAAATGCCAGCGATTTCAAACCGTGTTTTTAAGACTGTTTTTGGTTCACTGCAGTTTAAGTAGAAAATACTCAGCAATGGTGTCGACTTATGAATTTGGTTTGTCTTAAAGGGCACCTATTATGCCCCTTTTTACAAGATGTAATATTGGTCTCAGGTGTCCCCAGAATGTATTTGTGAAGTTTCAGCTCAAAATACCCCACAGTTAATTTATTATAACCATTTGAAAATGTCATTTTGGGCCCTGTTTAAAAATGAGCTGTTTCGTGTGTATACCACCTTAATGCAAATGAGCTGCATATCCCTGCCCTGCCTTTGGATGAGGGCGTAACTTGATACCTATGGCTGGCAGTCGGTACTGAGAGAGTGAAGAAACCGCTGTTTTGAATGTCATTCAGCATACGTTTGAATCGGAATATATAAATAGTATGAAGAGACTCCGGCAGAATAAACAAATGAGAATGGACCAGTACGTCTCGGTATGGTTATTTGATACATTTATGTACTTATAGAGTTGTAATCGCGTCCCATTTGAAATGATGGATGTCCAACACACACACACACAGACACTAGCGCAATTTTTTGAAACTACATACACATTCTGTGATAAAGTTTGCTACGTACGAGCGAAATTACATTTATGCGAGGGACCTGTTGCGTCATGTTTACTTGTCATACAGGTGCTTCTGTGGCAAATGTGAGAAGATGGCTAACTTACAGAACAACAACAACATAAGCAGTTTTTAATACAATATCTTTAAATATATATATATTTATAAACGTGTGGTAACACACTATACAAACAAGGTTTAAATTATATACACAGACATCCTATGACGGCAATAACTTTAGACGCATTTGTTGTTGAATTGGCTGACATTGACTGAAAAGACTATTTGCTCAAAAATCATAAAATACACGTAATGTTAACTGGGGTGACGGTGGATCGCAAACAGTAGACGACTATCCACAGTTGAGGATTAACTTTTAAGCCACAACAACAGGATTAACCCACGACAGAACATTTATGTTTCCAAGAGACATTACCGGCTGTCGTTGAAACAATGGAGGATGGTGTACAGATCACCGAGGGTGGGGTCTAGGCCACAACCACACTGTCAATCAAACCGCTTTCTCAGTTTCTACGTCACAAAGACCTGGATCTCAGAACAGCTTGTTCTGAGACAGTGCATATGATTTATTGAGATTGTAAAAAAACTACTGAGTGGATTTTTATCATTCTAGGGTGGTTTTGCTCACACACTGCCAACACGCATTTATGTTCAAACACCATGTAAAAGTGAATTTTCCATAATAGGTGTCCTTTAAAGCATAATAAAAACACCACATAGATATATAAACAACATTAAAAACTTGATTTTCAACACATTGATTTTCACTACTCAAATTTAAATGGTTCTGTTTCTGTTGGCTCACATGTACATTAACACTACCATTCAAATGTTTGAGGTCATTAAGATTTTTTTAAATAAATTATTATTCTTATTAAACAAGGACGAAGGATGTCAGTGAAGAAGACCTGTGAAAGCTGTTCTTTTGACATTTCTGTTCATCAAAGAATCCTAAAAAAAGTTTTTACCACATTTCCCCAAAAATATTAAGCAGCACAGATGTTTTCAAGTGTGATAATAATACGACCTGTTTCTTGAGCAACAAATCAGCATTAATATCTGAAGGATCATTAACACTGCAGTAATGGCTACCTAAAAATTCAACTTTGCCAAGATAACATTTCCCTAAATTACATATTAAATAAAAAAAAACTGTAGAAGCATAAAAGAATAAGATACTTATTTATATATAAAAACATCCTTGGACGGTAGTGGATGTTTCTTATAAATATTCTGTTATAATTATGTAATTTTTTTTTACACTATTATAAAAAAATCCTTATGTCATTTTTAAGCTCATTCTTTTAAAGATTCAAGATGCTGTTTTTTTTTTTTCTTTTAAAGACTATAACCTGTGTTTACATTGTGATGCAGGCAAGCGCACCCCATGGAGGGGCATTCTCCTGTTTGGGCCGCCCGGCACTGGGAAGTCTTATCTGGCCAAAGCTGTCGCCACCGAGGCCAATAACTCCACCTTCTTCTCCGTGTCTTCATCGGACCTCATGTCGAAGTGGCTCGGCGAGAGTGAGAAGTGAGTTTCAGTCTCTGATCTTGTGTCTGACCGTCTGCGTGAGGAGCAGCCTCTTTGAACCATGTGTTTTGTCTTCCAGACTGGTGAAGAATCTGTTTGATCTGGCTCGCCAGCACAAGCCCTCCATCATCTTCATCGATGAGGTGGATTCTCTCTGTGGATCCAGAAATGAGAATGAAAGTGAAGCTGCTCGGAGGATCAAGACAGAGTTCCTGGTGCAGATGCAGGGTGAGAAACACTCGACGGCCGTGTGTGAGCCGTGATGAACTCGTTCAGTTGATGCGGTCGGCAGACATGTCGTCATTTTGCATGCCAATATTACTGTTGCTGGAGCATCTGCATCGTAAAGCGAATACATTTTAAACATGATTAAAAACATATATTGACCCACATACAGAATGTTGCAGGATTTCCTCATAATTTGCTATAATCTGTCTTGACATTTTGTAATGGTTTGTTGGCGTCTCTCTTTGGCAGGTGTTGGTAACAGCAGTGATGGGATATTAGTTCTCGGTGCTACTAACATTCCCTGGGTCCTTGACGCTGCTATTCGCAGGAGGTCAGTGTAATGAATGTAAAAACAAAGATCTTGTTTTAAAGCGGTGTTTAATCTGCACTCCCCGTGGTCTGTGCAGGTTTGAGAAGCGCATCTACATCCCCCTCCCCGAGGAGCCTGCGAGGTCGGCCATGTTTCGCTTGCACCTGGGCAACACTCCTCACAGTCTGACTGAGGCAGACCTGCGGCAGCTGGCCCGCAAAACAGACGGGTACTCTGGAGCCGATATAAGCGTCATAGTAAGAGATGCTCTCATGCAGCCGGTCAGGAAAGTGCAGTCCGCCACGCACTTCAAAAAGGTAACCAGTTATCAGCGGTTTCATCAAGTTCATCAGCTATGAAATAAATCTGTTCGGGGTGCAGAGATTGTGACACCGTTTATTTAAATATAAATTGTTATGATATTTTTTCTGTTATTTTGGTGGTTTTTTTTATTTTATTATTTTTCTATGTATTCCAAGCTTTGGCAATATTATATTATATACAGTCATGCCAATAAAGCACAGTTGAATTGAGAAATGCATTTCAGATAGGCGCTCGAACACCATTGATTCCTCTTTTGCGTTTCTTTGCACTTGAACGGAGACACACACTCAAAACACCCATCTCAATCCCCGTCTCGGCAAGTATTCTCTCGGTTATGTCATAACTGAACAGTGGTGGATGAAGTACTGAATCTCAGTACTTAAGTAAAAGTACAAATAAACAGATAAATATTTACTTTAGCAAAACTCGAAGTAACACAATGACAACCATACTTAAGTAAAAAGTACCTGATTTTAAATGTACTTTAAGTATTAAAAGTAAAAGTACTTGCATAACAATTTATTCTCTTAAAGGGTTAGTTCACCCAAAAATGAAAATTAAGTCATTAATTACTCACCCCCATGCTGTTCCAACCCCGTAAGACCTTCGTTCATCTTCGGAACACAAATAAAGATATTTTTGATTGAATCTGAGAGCTTTATCAGTCCCATAAAGTCATTAAAGAAAAGGTTTAAATATTCCATGTGCCTACAGCGGCTCAATTATAAGTTTATCAAGCAACGAGACTACTTTTTGTGCGAAAAAAACATAAATAACGACTTTATTCGACTATTCCATTACTTCCTTATGGGCGCATGCGCGAGAACTGAGACGAGGACGTTCTCCTTTGACTACTTCTTGTTACCGGCTGCTCCGCTTAGGAGTTTTACCGCCACCTACCGTATAAAATGATGATCCATATATAAGGCGCTCCGGATTATAAGGAACACTGTCGTTTTTTGAGAAGATTAAAGGCTTTTAAGTGCACCTTATAGTGCGGAAAATACGTTAATTGAAAAGCGAATGTACAGCGCGCATCTTCCTCTGCTTGTAAACAGAAAGTTTTGCGCTTCCAGCTATATCAGCACATCATCTTATACGGTAGGTGGCGGTAAAACTCCGAAGCGGTGAGCAGCCGGTAACAAGAAGTAGACGAATGAGAACGTCCTCGTCTCAGTTCTCGCGCATGCGCCCATAAGGAAGTAATAGAATAGTCGAATAAAGTCGTTATTTATGTTTTTTTCGCACAAAAAGTAGTCTCGTCGCTTGATAAACTTATAATTGAGCCGCTGTAGGCACATGGAATATTTAAACCTTTTCTTTAATGACTTTATGGGCCGTCAAGAGCCAGTCCCTCAGGCTGTCTATGTAGGACTGATCCAGCTCTCAGATTCAATCAAAAATATCTTTATTTGTGTTCCGAAGATGAACGAAGGTCTTACGGGGTTGGTACAGCATGGGGTTGAGTAATTAATGACTTAATTTTCATTTTTAGGTGAACTAACCCTTTAATGTCTATTTTTTTCTAATGATTAATAAAACATTTAATTCTAACTCGTTCCACCTAATACTCTTTAAAATGATGTTCAATAATTATGGAAAAAAATTGTTGTCACCATTTCTGAAACAAGCTTGCAATTAGGCAATATACACATCATGCTTATCCTTACTATATATTAATAACTATGTTGGCAGTAAACGCGATTAATTTATGGTGTAATTCTGAATCTCTTGGCTTGCCGTAATCCTAACCAAATGTATACTACACACGGTGCGTTTCCTATGCACATAAAAAACAAATTTTCGCGTATAAATTGCACGATTAACACACTGTGTGTGAGACGCATTTAGTGTGACCGGGTTTATATATCTATGGCAACCAAACGTCACTGGTGAGACAAACGTGCAACGAACGGATGGTCAGAATACGTTTTGGCAGGCAACATGACTTCATGAATTTTGCGTAAACATAAACGCCACCTTCGAGTCAGGTGGCGTGTTATCTCTACGCATTTTGAACTATCTGCGTGTATCCGCGTGTATGCCTACGCCATTAACGTCCGCGTCATTCCACGTGTCTGTACACGCAGTCAAATCTCCAGTCATAAATGCCATTAACCCCAGTGACGGTTAAGTTTAGGGATGGGGTTGAGGTAAGTCATGTCTTTTTTTTTCCTAGGATGGTAAGGGAACAGTCATAAATGCCATTAACCCCAGTGACGGTTAGGTTTAGGGACGGGGTTGAGGTAAGTCATATATTTATATAACGTTAAGTCAACGGCGTTCATAAACACACTGAAAGGCGATTATGCGTCTTGATAGCACGCCAAAAATGGAAATACGAATTGGCCTGTTATACACACACTACTTCATGAGATCAGTCTGTGGCAGGGGAAAAACTGATCAGAAAATGTAATGAAAAAGTAACAGAGGTTGTAGAAATGTAGTGGAGTAGAAAGTATAATAATTGCTGCAAAATGTAACGAAGTAAAAGTAAAAAGTATGCACTATTTATTCTACTTAAGTAAAGTAAAGATACGTGAAAAATGTACTTAAGTAAAAGTAACAAAGTATTTGTACTTCGTTACATTCCACCACTGGTTGTGAAAGAAGACATCGGATGCTTGTCAGTTAATTCGGTCTTGTGAAGTGAAGCCTAATATTCCTGCTGATGTCTGTCATTAATGTTAAAGTGTGTAAGATTGTGGCCAAAACTGGTACTGCAATCACTTTCAAATTACTGTAGAGCAGTGTATCTGCTCCCCCTCCTCCCTGACTCGAGGATCCAACTTTTTTTTTTATCCGACATGTTTGTAGCTGCAGCTGTGGTAACTAGAGCAGAGCTGGCAACCCGGATTCTGCAGCACTACTGAGTCCGTGATTGGTAGATCGGTGGAGGGTGGAGCATCAGACCAAAACACAACATGACAACAACATCTGCAACTGTTCACTTTTTAAATGGCAATATCCGGGCTGGGCTACTGTTGTCAGTGATATAAGTATTTGAAATTAACATGATTTCTTAATGTCTAGTGACCTATCAGTGCCATTTTATGATAATTTGAAATACATTTCTTACATACAGCTCCTTTAATAAAACCACGAAATACAGCTTTACAAAGATGAACTTATGTTTAATTTCTACAGTGGACAGTTTTATTTTGGGTTTAGGATTAAAGGTACAATAATGCAAGATTGTTTCGCCACCAGGGGTCGCTAACCTCTTACAATAACAAGGGCGTATATTGGTGACATATATTCTGCATTAAGCGGAATTATGGATCTTGTCGTCAAGCTGATGGATCTTTTATGGATGAGTGAATACATTGATGTTTTTAACATGACGATTGCTAGACGGCACAATTCGCCAAACGCAACGCGGGTCCCGCGGATATAAAGGAATAAGGACATTTAATTCTACGGAACTACACGTTGAGTTACTCACACAGATCAGTTTATTAGCTCTTCACTTGCTCTAACAGTTTCACTATCACACTAAACTGCATTTGTGTGTGTTGAATGTTGTTAGTTAGGTTGTTTTTTTTTTTGGCTGAATGAGACTAAGCTAGATTAAAATTAGAGAATAACATACAGATCACATTCTTTTCATCATGTTGAACTATATAACATTGATTAGTTTTATATACATTGTTTTGCTCAACATGCAACACTCTGTCAAGTCGAAGTTAGTCGCGGACGTGGAGCTTTAGGCATCTCGAAAGATGTTGATCTTCGTTTTAGTCCGCTTTTTGTCTCAAAGTCTGCTTGCCTTGCCATGGTCCATAATGTTTGAACAAAACCCTGCTAGGGACGCTCACGCTGTTGAGCACGCATAACGGGCATAACCGACCCAGTTGTCTACGTCTGTCGCCATGGTTACTATTGCAGTACGAGGTCAATCCTGGCGGAAACCGGGGGTAATGCGGAAATGACATTTGTCATGGCCAAATGACTGCAAAATTCCTGCATATTGTACCTTTAACGTATAATATAATTATGATCTATATGATCCGAACCGGGGCTCAAAAACTGCAAATGATCCGAATTGTGAGTTTTGTGATCAGTTGCACTAGTTTCAGCTATAAGCACCTCTATTATTCTACTCGATCCTCAATCAGTGTTGTCAATAGCTGTCAATGTTGCAAATTGCATCTTATTATTATAATGATTTTATTATAATTATAAAACGACTTCAAAGGCAGCTCTGGAGAAGACAAGTGTCATCATCCATTCAGGTCAAGTCAAGTCGCATTTATTTATATAGCGCTTTTTACAATACAGATGTGAACATGAAAATAATACAACACGGATCAATAATATATACAGATCAACATTAATTCAACTGATAGAATGAGAAGAACAGATGCAAAAGGATGATTGAATTGTACAAGCTTTCTATTTCGTATCTGGTTTGAGACCGCTAATGAATTGACAACACATGCGGTGCTCTGCGTTATTACCAGTGTTGTGCAAGTTACTTCCAAACTGTAATACATTAGGTATTACTTGTTACTGTTATTTAAAAGTAATTCATTACCTTACAATATTACTGTCTCAGATTTGTAATGCGTTACATTACTCATGTATTACTTTTGAGTTACTTTCACCAAAATAACTAAGTAGAACTTAACTTTTGGGCTGTAACGATATGCAATATGAAACCGAAATCGCCATTCGCCACACGACTCAGATCCACGAACCTGCAGAATCGCGACACACCTCTTCCAACTCCAGCATTATTCTCCTTACCGTCCAGATCCAAAGCTGCCTTATCTTTAAATTAGGCTATTAGTATTATTTGAATTTAACATTTGAAGTTAACCACAAAACTAGTTGAGGATAAATTATTGAAAATTGGGGAAGTCCAGCATTATGGACATGACATTTGCAGTCAAAACTTGAAATAAAAATTCTCCGAAAATACATGTATTGAAACGTACAGTATATAGGCTACTTCCTTAAAGGACTCCAGACATTAGACAAATATCAGTCTATGTTTTATTTTTAATATTAGGGAAAAGACACACATTCATGCGTGAAAAAAAATAGGAGGCAAATATATATTTTTTGTAATTCTGTTCATTACACTGCGCAAATCGGATGAGGAAGGGTTGGCTCTCCAGTCTCCATAGAACTTAAAATATTCATTTTATTTTAGTTTTCGTGTTCGCATTTATGAGGAAAAAACAATGATACAGACGCGACCGCTCTGAACTGGCACTAAAAGACTGCTTTAAAACTTTCACACAGTCTGTTGCCTTTAAGAAGTAAAAGCAGACAATACACTGTAATACGACTGTAATACAAGCCTCACTGAACATGTAACGAGTAAAATATTACTGAAAATTGATTAGTAATGCCTTACACTACTGCGTTACAGCAAAAACTAATATGTTACAGTAATGTATTACTTTTGTAATGCGTTACTCCCAACACTGGTTATTACATGCATCAGAGGGGAAAATGACTATCTAAAAGACGTAATTAGTGTGTGGATTTTAAATGAAATGTTAAATCTTTAATATCAAACTCAGTGTTCCAGACCTGTAGTTTAAGGGTGTTCTGGTCCCTTTGCTCATCAGGTGCGAGGGCCATCTCGCAGTAACAGCTCTCTGATGGTGGATGACCTCCTGACCCCGTGTTCTCCCGGTGACCCTGAGGCCATAGAGATGACCTGGATGGATGTACCAAGTGACAAACTACTGGAGCCCATAGTATGCATGGTGAGATCAGTTACTTCATTTCACGTCTCTGAACTCAAGTCTCGTCTACTTGGCACATTAGAAGTACTAATTATTTCAAACATGTATAACCATAGAAATGCACCGAAATGAAAATTCTGGTCTGAAACCAAAAATGATGGATGCACTTGGCCAAAAACGCTTTTTAAATGAGCTTTTTTGTATAATTTTATTAATATTAGACTTTTTAATTAAATGAAATGAAATTATTCTATTTTAATGATACTATTTAAAAAGTACAAGCCAACAAAAAAGTACAGTGTGTTAAAAGTAACACAAAAAATATAGCAACTCTTTCCCCGCCCGTGTTTCTAACAAAAGTTGCCAGCCACCACCTGCTTTTTTGCCAATTTTCACAAAAATTTCATGGCCCACAGAATATTTTGTTGTATGAATTTCAGAACATTCATTATACAGTGGTATGAATAAGTTTAGGCGCCCATGCTAAAGTTGCCTAAAAAGAGGAATAAAAAATCATCTTTTGGATATTGATCTTAATGCCTTAATTAGAAAAATGAGGAAAAGTCCAACCTTTAAGGACACCAATTTTCTTTGTGAATGAAAAATGTATCATAAATAAATAAATGTTTTTCCTTAAAATACAGGGTGCATAAGTCAGGGCACCCCTATGTTAAATTCCCATAGAGTCAGGCAGATTTTTATTTTTAAAAGCCAGTTATTTCATGGATCCAGGATAATATGCATCCTGATAAAGTTCCCTTGGCCTTTGGAATTAAAATATCCCCACATTATCACACACCTTCCACCACACCTAGAGATTGGCATGGTTTTACTTCAGTTAGCCTAATAGCTGGTTTGATTTGCATTGAAAGATGATCTTATGGAAAGTACCCCATGCCAATCTCTAGGTGTGGTGGAAGGTGTGTGATGATGTGGGGATATTTTAATTCCAAAGGCCAAGGGAACTTTATCAGGATGCATATTATCCTGGATCCATGAAATAACTGGCTTTTAAAAATAGAAATCTGCCTGACTCTATGGGAATTTAACATAGGGGTGCCCTGACTTATGCACCCTGTATTTTAAGGAAAAACATTTATTTATTTATGATACATTATTCATTCACAAAGAAAATTCGTGTCCTTAAAGGTTGGAGTTTTCCTCATTTTTCTAATTAAGGCATTAAGATCAATATCCAAAAGATGATTTTTTATTCCTATTTTTAGGCAACTTTAGCATGGGTGCCTAAACTTATTCATACCACTGTATAAAAAGAAAGAACAGAACCTTTTCTTTTAAACAATAAAAAAGTATTCTAGTTTCATGCATTCTTTTTAATCAAATCTTTGTAAAAGACTACTTCCAGATGGTTTTCAGAACGATGATCAAAACGCAGATGGAGTCGATCGAGTCCATCAACACCCCAAAGCTTCACACTCCTGTAACTTGTCCTTGGTCGATATTTCTTTCAGTAGCCAGTTTTGATTTATACGCTGTTTACAGTTTTTTCCAATTGCTAACACACAATTTTGCAAACTAGTCTGGTTTTATCAAAATACTTAACACAATTCACAAAACCACACACCCAAACTGCAAAATACCTCATATATCCTGCAAAATGAAGCACTGCAACCAAAACTATACATAGCATTATCAAAATCAAACTTTTGCATGAACTGGCACACACTTCATTCATATTACCAGATTTTTGCCTAAACAACTACACACTGTTGGGCATAATGAAAAGCACTCATATCTTTAGTATGCTTTTGCCATAATACTAAAATATGTATCAGATTGTTCACATGCACAGAAATATTTGCAGACACACACATGCTGTTGAAACTTCATTTTACAGTAATGTATTTTTTCACTACAGTAAACAAGTCAGTGCAACATATGCACAGCAGAAATATTTACATGGGACTGAAAAAAAAAATACTTAAAAAAAAAACAGTAAACTGAAAAAGAAACTTCCAGAAAATATATTACAGTAAAAAAAAAAGTGGCAAGAAAAATATATTTTTTTATAGTTTTTATAGTGCTTACATCCTGATTGAAGTGTTGACAATTAACCATTGAGGTGTTTGGCCAGATGGCACATGTAAATGGCCAATTAGCTCCTGTAGTGTCATTTTGAATGGTAGTGTTTTGAAATGGCAAACATTTTAACATTTCAGTGTCCGTTTAAAGAACTGTGCTGTGCATGTCATTTTAGTGTGTTAGCAATTGGACAAAACTGTAATGTTGATAATCGTGTTATTTACATATTCATATGATTACATGGATATCGCTCATTTCTGCTTCTTCGCATGTGTTTGGATCCGGAGATTCAGTACTTATTCAGAAGATGCGTAATAGGGCCCCCTACTATAACACGGAAAACCGGAAAATTCTGTCAATGGCGGGGAAAGAGTTCATATTAAATATCAATATATTATTCTTTATTCAGTTCTATGCAACAGAATCAGAATTAACAGGTATTTTTTTTTACCAATTTTTCAAATAATGTATAGTCCTATTATTATGTGAGCAGTGCGTAGCAGATGAGTGAACAAGAGGGTAGCGTCATTTCACCAGCGTTGCCCATCATGGCCTACTGCAAACAGAATCAAGTCTACTACTACTTAGAAATTTCCTGTTGGCATGCTATTTGAGCAGACTTTGCCTTTTTGATGAGCATGAGCGACACAAGAGTGGAGCTTCGCATGGTCCGTGAGCAGAATATTGAGCGGAGCGTCACACTTGTTACCGCTAGCGCTGAACACTGAGCGCCGTATATTTAAAGAACTGTGAAAGATCTGTGACTACAGGCGTGTGATATGTAGTCTACAATAGCATTTAAAAAATACTAATAATAATTTCATATTTTAAAGTGCCCCATTATGCTGTTTCAAAGGTTCCTAATTTAGTTTTGAAGGCCTATAAAGGTTTACATTGGTCAAAAAAACCTTTTATTTTCTTATGATATACATTGCAGCATCCTTTCTTTTCTCAGTGCCTGAAACACTTACTCTCTAAACCCCTCCTTTCCGAGAGCCTGCTCTGCTCTGATGGGTCAGATGGCCCAGTCTGTTGTGATTGGTCGACCGCTTACAGCACGTGTCAGAAACGAAACGATGATTACACATCTGAACTTGAATGAATGAATAATTTTGTTTCTTTTCATTTCCTTTTCCTCTTCAGAACATGATCATTAGCAACAGAACATATTTTAACAAAATATAATAAGAACAAAAAAAGGAAGAAGCTAATTTATATTTGCCTTCCCCTTTTACACATCTAGCTTTGAAACGGCTTCTGTTTTCTCTTTACAAAATGTCATAATTTATCCTTTTTGAGAAAAAAAAAAAAAAAAAAAAAAAAACAATCATTTTCAGTACATTTTATCTAAAAATAAATCACACAATACAATTATTAAGTGAAAAAGAAAAAGAAAACTAATAAAAAAAATACTGACAATAATATAAATGGCTAGAAACAGACTGTATCGTAATTCAGATCAACCTCTTGAAGAGGAAATGAGACATTTGTCCCAAGTCCACCTTAATTCATATACTTTTCTAGTATAGACATTTTAAACCTTCTTTTAAATTGCACAATATGATTGCTTTCCTTAATTATTACAGGTAAGTTATTCCACAGCCTCACCTCATTGACAGATATGCACATGTTTTTGAGTGTGGTGTGTGTGCAATTGATTGGGAGAGATTTCTTCACCTTCTTAAATTGTATCTACTATCTCTTTCCTTAAACTATTTTTTAATATTACTAGGAAGTACTTTGTTTTTAGCTTTGTACATAATTTGTGTAGTCTTAAGATCCACTATGTGTTTAAATTTTAATGTTTGCAAAGTTAAAAATAAATCATTTGTATGTACATAATAACCAACATTACAGACTATTCTAATTGCCTTTTTCAGCATTGTGCTTATCGTCTGAAGGGTGGTTTATAGGTATATAAGTAAGAAAAAGCACGCAGTGTAAAATATACATTGTATCTCGGTTGAATATATGTCTCACTTTACAAAGTATACCATTTATCTTTGCCAATTTAGAACTAATATAGTTGACTTGAGGTTTCCAGCTTAGTTTATGATCAATTATTACTCCTAAAAAGACTTTTCATAGACTCTTTCTAATCTGGAATTATCACACAGTACTTCAATAGTTAAATCTTCAGGAATTCTATGTTTCCCAAAGATCGTAAATTTTGTTTTCTTTATATCGAGAGATAATTCGTTTAAATCAAACCACATTTTAAGCTTAGCCAACTCTTTAGAGACAGTCGTCAACAAATGTTGAAGATTCTCTCCTTCACAAAATATATTTGTATCATCTGCAAAAATCACAAATTTCAACAAATCAGAAGTTTTAACAATATCATTTATGTATAATATAAATAATTTTGGTCCTAGAATTGAACCTTGTGGTACACCATATATTCTATTTTGGAGCTTTGACCTTTCCTCCCCCATCTGCACATATTGCTTTTTATCCAGTTTAGTCCTATTCCCCTAATTCCGTAAATGTACAATTTTTGAAGCAAAATATGATGATCTATTATATTAAAGGGATAGTTCACTTTGAAATTAATTTTTGATATGTTTTAGCTTACCTCAAGGGCATCCAAGATGTAGGTGTCTTTGTTTCCACAGTATTTTCAATTTTGATATTTTTAGGTCAAACCGTTCTTGTCTATCAGTCATATAATGGAGGCTAAGGGGGTCCACCAAAAAGCATGCACAGAGAAGTCAAAATTAAACATGATTTAATGACTCGTAAATGTAAGTACGCATTGATGGCCTAAGACATGAAACGAGCGGTTTGTGTGAGAAAACGAACAGTATTTATATCGTTTTTACCTCGTGTAATCACAGTGACGTCCAAGTGATCTGAATCAGTTGTGCAATGTCCAACTGAACCAAACTGAATCAGTTCAATGTTACGCCGGAAGTGATCGCTTGCGTGTGACGTCACTCAATATTTACACGGAGATTTCGGAAGTTTTACCTTTTACTAAACATATTTAGATATACCAAAATCGTCTTACAATGCGGTTTCCCGTATATCTAAATATGTTTAGTGAAAGGTAAAACTTCTGAAATCTCTGTATAAACAAAGAGTGACGTAGGCGCGCAAGCGATCACTTCTGGCGCATGCGCAAACCGAAGTGCCCGCGCCGTCAGATCATTTTGTCATGGCTATGATTACAAGAGGTAAAAACTATATAAATACTGTTGGAGTCATTAAATCATGTTTAATTTTGACTTCTCTGTGCATGCTTTTTGGTGGACCCCCTTAGCCTCCAGTGTATGACTGATAGACAACAACGGTTTGACTGAAAAATGTCAAAATTGAAAATACTGTGGAAACAAAGACACCTACATCTTGGATGCCCTTGAGGTAAGCTAAAACATACCAAAAATTAATTTCAAAGTGAACTATCCCTTTAAAGGCCTTTTTTAAAGGTCTATAAATACACCTATAGCAAAATTATTGTCATCAATACTGGTTGTTAATTCTTCCACTATTTGGTCTATTATAGCCAAAGATGTAGAACGGTTTGTTCTAAAACCATATTGACTATCAGTTAAGATCCCATGTTTATCAAGAAAACTATCCAATCTAATGGAGAATATCTTCTCCCGAATAATTTCTGCTCTTCCTGAACACTAGATACACAGCGATACGAACAGTAACGATGGTGTCGGTTTAACCAGATCAAATTGAACCAGAGTCTTATTTGTAAGTTCATACAAAGTGGATTTGCTTGCACAGTGCAACAAACACGTGTTTTCTCTATATGATGAAAACACAAACTTTCCAGGCCTCAGCTACAACTACAGTGTTTGAGGAGGGTCAAAGTAGTTCACGGGCAGCCAGTGAAGACCATAAGCAGACATTTACACACCTGGGTTTGTGCAGGAAGTTACAGAAGACTGTTGGAATTACTGATATTTCAGGTTTTCACAATCGCTTCACCTATAAGGTAACTTCCAAAAAAACAAAAAACAAACCCATAATAGGTGTATTTTAATACTCAAACTTTAATCTCATAGCACTATGCAATTGTAATGGAAGTCTAATACATCTGAATGCTTTTATTTTCATCTTCTGTGCCACTTCTGCAATGTGAAAATTCTTGCACTAATAAAGTTTGCAAAAATTGGCCTTTATAAAGGTGAAAATGCCCTGGAGATCAGTTTAAGGTGGCAAATACATAGCTACTTTATATACATACATGTACATTGTGTAACAGAGTTTGTGTGTGTGTGTTTGTAGTCTGACATGCAGCGCTCTTTGGCCACCACACGCCCCACCGTCAACAAAGAAGACCTGCTGAAGGTGAAGAAGTTCACAGAGGACTTTGGACAGGAGGGCTGAACCACACCACGCTTTCAGTTCTAACATCGATTCATATGTAGCCGTCCCAACTCAACCCGGACAACCACCGCAAACTGAACAGCAGGAGCATGTGATCTAACATCTCTAATCGCCCGACTCTAACATTAAACTGATTAATGTGATGTTCAGTAATCCAGAAGCATGAAGCTCGCTGTAAATTGTTTTATGTTTACATTTACATGATCGAATTTGTTGAAGCGTTCATTTTATGAAGTTGTTTTGCGTGTCTGCCCTTTATTTCGAACGGGCTTCAACATTTCAGCTCTCACTGCTGACTATTTATTTGAATTTATTCTCAATACTTTGGATTGTTTTGAGCTTCTTTAGTAAGCTTTATCAGTATCTATTGTGTCCAGCTCAGTATTGCAGCACTTTAATTTATGACCTGGGTTAGTCTCACCAAGCCTGAGTCACTTTCTGCCCTCAATTAAAAGGAAGGAAATGTATTATTAATGCTGATGATTTTTATCTCTAATAGAAGTTTTGCTTCATGAAAAGTGTCACAATGCAAAAAAAAAAAAAAAAAAAAATCTTGATAGTACTAAAGTAGGCTTGATCTTCTTTATTCATATTGTAAGGAAAGAAAATCAAGCCTATTTTCCAGATTTGTTTCGGCCCTGGATATGTGTTTGACAACCTCACCATCTACATTTCACTGTATGTTATTGATAGCTGAAGAAAACCACGTTGACCTGATAAAACATGACGATGTGTGCAGCTGTATTTACTTCAACCAATCCAATCTGCTTAAAATGGATAAACTGCTCTTCTAACAATAGTTGTTACATTAACAATTTTGATTTAATCAAAGGATCATTTTCTCTAAACATGCTGTGTATGTTTTCAGAAAGGGAACATAAAATGTTTCGGAAAAATGTAGAATCCTGTGAAGTAAATATACAAAAATTAAAGGGTTAGTTCACCCACAAATTTAAATTCTGCAATAAGTCTTTCCTTCGTGGCGCTTTAAACCCATGAGATTTTGGTTTGTCTTCTAAACACAAATTAAGACATTTTTCATGAAACCTGACAGATTTCGATCCCTTCTAATGAAAGTCTACCAGAAAGATTCAAAAAGGTGTCATAAAAAACGAATCCACATAAATCAATTGATTTAATTCAAGTCTTGTGAAGAGATATGATTGATGTATAATGATGAACATATTTAATTTAGGCTTTTATTCCTGATGATCGAAATGTTGTGCGGTGTGTTAATAAATGTTTTTGGAGCTGTAAACTCTGTGCAAACTTCTTATTTACATGCACACAAATACATAAAGCACGTTAAACATGAAGCGTGTGTGTGCAACGAAAATGAGGTTTGTTCTAGTGTGAGGCACGCACACGCTTCTGTCGGTGTGGTTATCTTTAAAAAAAAAAAAAAAAGATTAATTAATGATTAAATGATACCTGTTCTTCATATAAAGAAATTATATGTTCATATGTACAGGTTTTATGTAAAGCCTTTATAAGCTTTCTGGATCTTTCGTGGTTTGATTTCCTGAACATGAAATGGAATGACAATCTTCTCAGGTTTCATTAAAAATATCTTTTTTTTTTTTCTTTTTTTTCCTTTTTTTTTTTTATGAAGGGACCATGCACAATTTTTAACCCTAAAACCGTATTCTGGACAAATGTGGGAAAAATAGTTTTGATTTATTTAAAAAAAAAAAAATTCCATTGATCTGAGCGGTACAAGACTTGGCTACTTAAGCTTGCCTTCTGAACACACACAATTTTTTTGACTCAATTCTACAATGTTAAGTAGGTGAAAAAAAAAACTCCTTAATCTTGTATTTGGGTAAAAAATGGGCACCCATAGAATTTAATGGGAAAAACTAATTTAGAGCATTCCAAAAAAAGACACCAGGTGACCGCAAAGTCACTTCATCTTTAGGTTTTGCTCATTCGAGGCCATTGGTTCATCAAAAAAATTCCCATGAATTCTTCTGTTTCCTACATTAACAAAAAACAGGTTAAGCCCACAATCAACCCAGCAAAGGTAACGTTTTATATAAATAAATCACATAAGTGACATTATTTAGAACAGTTTTTTTTTAATATTTGTACAAAAAAAATACAGCAGCATAATTTAGGTATAACCAGCTTAACAAGGATATTTGTATTATTTACAATGTATCTTGTGTCTGTAAGTCTGCACTTTAACATGTAATTAGCTAAATATCTTACAGTATAAGAACACAAAATTCCATTAAGAAAGTGAAACTCGTTTGAGATATCTGACGCCGTCACTCATAAGGCTTTCAGAATATCATACTTTGCTTCTTTTGGACTGGCTTTCGTTCACAGAACCACCCCGCTTGTTTCTGTGGTGAGGAAACGTGGGCATCAGCTCTGGTTCACATGCTGCAGACAAACAGCAAAGTCATCTCAATACAGAAACGTGTTTTAAATATTAGTTCATGTATAAGTAAACGTTTAAATTAACTAATGTTAACAAATGCAACCTTTGATTGCCATCATGTTAATGCACTGTGAACTAACATTAACAAAGATGAGTAAATACTGTAACAAATGTATTGCTCATTGTTATTTAATAAAAAACTAAAGATAAAATAAAAAGGTAATAAAAAACTCAGCTTTTCATTGGTTGACATTATTTAATGTATCAACTAACATGAGCAACCAATAGGCCCTCATCATAAAGTGGTACAGAGAAAACTAAATAAGCCTCTACTTACGCAAGGGCTTTTCCTTGAAGTAGGAACTTTCCAAACAATCTTTAGCTGTGGCTCTATAAGAAACAGTGCAATATTAAATACAAATGTAAAAACATGATAAACTTAATTTTAGGACCATAAACATCTACTGTTTGTCAATTATTAGTCCCTCCAGGATTTCACGATTTTTTTTTTTTGTGATTTTTGCGATCAAAATGACTGATTTTGTGGTGGTAATTTCCAAAAATTTGTGAAAAAATTTGCGATTTATATATAACATTTACCATAATAGTATTCAGTCCTTCCAAAAAAAAACGCAGAGTTTTTTTGTGATTGTTGCAGGCAAAAATTGATTGATTATGCGGCCCGTTTTCTTTAAAAATGCGATGGAATATGCGGGATATTTATGCAATTTTATGCGATGAAATTGCAGGAATTTGCAAAAATTGAGGGAACTTGCAAAAATTGGATATATGTTTTTTTCTATTTAGATATGTGTTTTAAATGTTACATTTACGTTAGCTTAAATCTATAATTCAGTCCCTCCAGAAAAACGCGATTATGTGATCGCTGAATTCAATGCAAAATCAGCCAAAGTCCGCATATTTATGCGGGGGCCGCATTTTTTCAAATACGCCGCACTTTCGCCGCATAAATTTTGTTTTGTTTTGTACTTGTAAAATTTTGTTTTGTACTTTTAAAGATTTTAGTTTGTACTTGCAGGATATTTCATTGCAGAAATACGTTTCTATATATATGTAAAACATACTGTATTTGTTTGATAGGTACGTTTTTTATTTGCAGAACAATATGCATTAGTTTGTGAGTGATGTTTTGTATTTACAAACCACACTGAGTTTGTTTGTGAATCATTGGGTGTGAGTAAAACACGTTTTGTTTGTGTGTGAGGTTTAGGCACATAATTCGCTCCATATTATGAAATTATTCAAACCCCGCATATTTTGCACGAAAATCGGCAATTTATGCGGCGAAAGTGTGGCGTATTTGAAAAATTGCGGCCCCCGCATAAATATGCGGACTTTGGCTGATTTTGCATTGAATTCAGCGATCGCATAATCGCGTTTTTCTGGAGGGACTGAATTATAGATTTAAGCTAACGTAAATGTAACATTTAAAACGCATATCTAAATAGAAAAAAACACACATCTAATTAAAAATAAAGCAGCCTAAAATAGTTTTTCCACTTGTCTATTGTACCTGCGCTGTGGGTTGTACATGAACAGAAGGTTGAGCAGTCTCAGACCAGCTTCTGATAACCAGGTGAACTTGTTCTTTAAGTTGTTGTACGGCTGCTTCCTCAGACTGTACTGCCCAACCAGAGGTAGACGCGAGAATCCCTACAATTCACAAGAAACTCCACATTTAAAGACCTCCTGTGGTGAAAATCAAGTTTTTAATGTTGTTGTTTATACATCTATGTGGTGTTTTTAATATGCTTTAAGACCAAAAACCAAAATCATAAGTCAACACCATTGCTGAGTATTTTCTTCTTAAAACTACAGTCTCAAAAACACAGTCTGAAATCACTGGCGTTTCTGACATCACAAACTACCAATCAGATCAACGAGCCGGCGGGCTTTAGCATATCATTACTATTCTCTGAAGCGGTGGAGTCTCGAGAGAAGCAGTTTATCCCGGTGTATTTTTTTGTTGACATAATTCTCCCGCTATATTGTTAAATGTACACGATTTTTCATATTACGATGAACTCTATGCCTTTTTCCACTGACATTCTGAGTGTTTCTAATGATGCTGTTTTTTAGAAGGCCTCTGTCTGACTCTGAGATGGTGAATGGGAACATGGTTCGTGTAACATTAGCAAAACATTATTAGCTGTTTGATAACGGTAATCAATATGAATATGACTTGACTTCTAATACATTGACAAGGGTATTCACTTTTCCACTTCTTCTGATTCAGTTTCTGGTTCAAACATCTTTAGCTGTGGCTAATTTGCATAAATGCAAGGTTGTATATGGTTAAATTAAAGCAGTATTTCCACTTGCCATTGTACAACGTTTACTATAGTAAATCTGACTGAGTGGATCTCTGAGATTGTGTGATTGAGTGGCTAATTTGCATAATCATGAATCCACGTATACTTAGGGTTGGGTATCGATAATCGAGTATCGATTGGAACCGGGACTAACTTTTCATTTTTCCCGGAATCGTTCAAAAGTTGAAATTTCGATTCCTAGTTTCGATATTCACAGTCCGTCGAGCGGAAGAAGAAACCGCTGAACAACACCAACGAAGAAGCGTCTACCGGAAGTGTTGGCATAACCGCGCGAGTCGAACATGAGTAGCTTACGTCGGCGGTCCAAAGTGTGGCTTCATATTTCTAAAAATAACGAAATCTCGGCAAAATGCAAAATTTGTGACAAAAGGAGTATTTTTACAGAAGGAGTATTTCCTTCAGAAAGGATTATTTCCTTCAGAAAGACCGTTGGTTAGCAAGGTTAGCTAAACTTTTTTGACCCTGCCTCTTAAAAGAATCGGAATCGAGTATCGTTTGGAACCGGAATCGAAACAAGGAATCGGAATCAGAATCGTTCAAACTCAAACGATACCCAACCCTACGTATACTAAATGAAGCAATTGCATTCAAGCTAATTTAAAGGGTTAGTTCACCCAAAAATGAAAATTAAGTCATTAATTACTCACCCCCATGCTGTACCAACCCCGTAAGACCTTCGTTCGTCTTCGGAACACTAATGAAGATATTTTTGATTAAATTTGAGAGGTGGATCACTGCTACATAGGCTGCCTAAGGGAATGAAACTTTATAACCCAGAAAGTCAATGAAGAAAATGTTTAAATATTCCATGTGACTACAACTATAATTTTGACGAGAGTTCAAGATATTTCCATGACGCATGCGCGAGAACTGAACTAGAAGGAGTAGAGTTAGAACGCAGTTCTCGCGCATGCGTCGTGGAAATCTCTTGAACTCTCGTCTCAGGCCTACAAGGAAGAAAAGGAATAGTCGAATAAAGTCGTTATTT